ATACATACATACATACATACATACATACATACATACATACATACATACATACATACATACATACATACATACATACATACATACATACATACATACATACATACATACATACATACATACATACATACATACATACATACATACATACATACATACATACATACATACATACATACATATACATACATACATACATACATACATACATACATACATACATACATACATACATACATACATACATACATACATACATACATACATACATACATACATACATACATACATACATACATACATACATACATACATACATACATACATACATACATACATACACATACACATACATACATACATACATACATACATACATACATACATACATACATACATACATACATACATACATACATACATACATACATACATACATACATACATACATACATACATACATACATACATACATACATACATACATACATACATACATACATTACATTACATACATACATACATACATACATACATACATACATACATACATACATACATACATACATACATACATACATACATACATACATACATACATACATACATACATACATACATACATACATACATACATACATACATACATACATTACATACATACATACATACATACATACATACATACATACATACATACATACATACATACATACATACATACATTACATACATACATACATACATACATACATACATACATACATACATACATACATACATACATACATACATACATACATACATACATACATACATACATACATACAGATACACATACAAACAGGCACAAACAAACAAAACAAACCGAGAAAGAAACAAAAAAGGAAAGAAACAAGACCACCCAAACAAACAAACAAACCAAACCAAAACAAACAAACAAAGTCAAACCAAGCAATAACATAGTGATAATCTCCATCCCTGTGGCTTACTGCTCTTGACTCTTTTTCGCTGAGCAAGGTTCTCCATATCTCCAAACACAAGGACTTGTGAGCCTGCAAAGACAGGGGCAAATGATACAGCAACCGACAAATGGACCGTCTGAGATGGGCTAACATCACCCCACATGGGTAGATGACTGGGCGGTTGCCAGCACTTGGCTTGATTTTTGGTTTCCCTTACAATGGTGAGAAGGATACCATGGACCGACCCATCCATACAACTTTTCAGGTTTAAGTTATGAAGCCTCGGGAACACCAAAAAACAATCCCCCCCTCCCCCGCCCGCCCAAACAAAAAAACACAAAAAACAAACACATGTCCATCCACAAAAACACAAAACCCTGGCTGCGCCTTGAGCAGGTGCTGCCTGCGGGCCTGGAGGACCTTATCCCTGGCAGTCGGAACGAGTTGGACCAAACCTGTTTTGGGGGGGGGGGCGTGGCACTGGGCCTTTTTGGAGGTACGCCCCTGTAAAAGGTAGCACAAGGCGGCGCCTTTGTGTGCAAAACGAGGCCATATGTTTGAGACCCCCGCTTTTGACTTGCCAAGCGGTGGGACCTTGTTGGCCACACGAATTCAAAAGCCACGGACCGTGCAGCATATCCCTTCGCAGAAACAGAAGCAAGGCACAAGACCTAGGCATCAAACACAAGCATCAAAATGCATCTGAACGTTTCGGAACATAAATCATCGGCTGGGATGACGGATCCTTCTGCACGAAAATTCCCTCTGAGCAAATCGGTACGTTGCAAACCTAGGAACCTTCAGCTGGTGCTCTCTACACGGCGAACGCCAGGCATAGTGCCAGTGGAGAGGGAGCTGCAATTCAGAGCAAAATTCTGTGCCCAAAGGACACAAACTCTGCCACATAAAAGCAGCTTTCCGAAGGGGGGATCGCCGTGATCAGGCCAGTCCTGTGAACCATGGTCCTGGCTCCCTTAGTGAATGGTTGTCTAAAGCCAGTCCATATGGGTGGGTCCGTTCTCTTAATGGAACCGTTTTTGGGTTGGTCTAATATCAACAGGAAAACCACTATTTTTGGGGGTCCCCTATGCCAAAGCACACCATGTTGCAACTTCCATCCCCACTTTACAGCTGTGCCACTCTAAGGCCGCGCGCATTTTGAGCTGCGCGGCCATCTCTGGGTCGAGCGACTCCTACGAGCAAGGCCCAGCCCCATGTGGCGTCGAAACAAATGAGGTGGGTTGGCACTATGGTACCATGGATGGCAAATGTTTACGTTTGGTTGGTACTACCTTCTTTGTGCGTGGCTTTCAAAGGGCAACAGGCTTGGCTGAGTGTTGACTGGCACCCTTTTGTCTGGTGTTCAAAGGGAAACCAGCAACATGATTCCAGGCCCAATGTCTGTTCTGCAAAGGAGCCCCCTCCCCTGAGAAATTTATAAACGGCCAGGGCAAACCAGAGGGAGTGGTCCAACACAAAGAGTGTTTTGTTTCTTGATGGTTCCCTTTGACTGGAGTCCCCTAAAAGGCCCTGACTTTACACACACACACACATATGTCAAGTCAAAAATTGAGCCGCCTTCCTCCGTTGGCGTAAGGGGAACCCCTCCAAAGAGGGCCGCAAACAAGGCCTTGGGTCTTACTGTTGGTGGGCTTTTACAAACACATGTCCAAAAAGAGGCGGATCCCGAAGTTCAATTTGTCAACGAGTTGCCGCCGTATCGGCTTGACTAGGTTGGAGGTTGATCACAAGCGGTCCAACTCGCCCATTTCCGCAGCCAATTGGAACTAGGGGTATCCACAACACACTTCTCATCTCAGCTTGGATGTCCTTCCCCAGGTGCTGATTTGAGTACATGTGGCCCGGACGTCTCGTTCAAAGCAAAGGCCCCCCCTCATTCGAACGGTGGTTTTACACGTTTGGGCAGGGAAGCGTATGCTTTCCCGCAACCGTTTCCAATACAAGAACAACAAATTCTGCGATGACCGAGTCCCGCCTCGAAGTGGTTGATCTCGTCGATGAGGTCGGGGTCCCATTTGTGACAAAGGAGCTTCAGGACCTGGGAATCCGAGCCATTGGAATGACCAAAGCCCTCCTGTTGGGACAAAACGAGATGTCCGCATAGCAAACAAACCTGGACATCAAATGGTATTTTGTGAATTGGTTGCTTGGATGGACTTGCATGCACCTGGAACACGCAAACTAGTGCTGGAGTAAAACACAGGGAACTCGGCGATCCTTTCCTTCAAGCAGAGTTACATGGAGCTACCCTTGCGTGCAGTTCTTCATTCGGGTAAATCGGACCAATGGCCATGCAAGACTGTCATAGTCGCTTGCCATGGCTGCCCATGGCGCCCATTCCTATGGTTGCAAATTATCTATATATATAATATACATACCACATACCATACATAATCTATTGTACCCCGGTCAAAATTCCTGGTAAGGATCATGGTCATGGCTCCCTCCACAGAAGCTTTTATGAGATGGGTTGTCTAAAACGCTCCAAAGCAAGCATGCATTTTGAAGGTTGTGGGTCGAGACTCTCTGCCTCTGTTGTGTGGTTCCTGTTGGCCCACTATGTCTTGGATTCAAAGGACAAGCTCACAGGTTTCACCGGCTGCTCATGTACAGTTACACCCACTCAAAAAAACGTGCCCTCAAAGAAAACAGACCCACATCACGGGAATCAACCGCAGGGCAATATCAAGGAAATGAACCACAGCCAGCTGCCCATTGACCCTAGTAGAAAAGGGAATCATTTCTTGTGGTTCGCCATGAAGCCACCCAAAGAAAAAAATGAAGATAGCGCGCGGCTCGGAACTGGGCGCGGGATCATGGCTGTTCCCCTCCCGCTTGCCCGGCCTGGAGGAGTGCGGACAGGAAGTGCACCTCATCGACGCAGAACGCGCTTAAAGCAAAATGCTTCTAGGGGTACCTTCCCCATTCTTTTCCAGTGATCCTTCTTTAGAAAATAGCCAGTATTGAAAAGAACGATGCTTGAAAAGAGTGGGCAATCAACCCCTAGAATGCTGTGGAGAAACGGCCGGGATTCGAACTTGATTCACGGCCGGGCAACCCCAAGCAGACTTGGACAAAAACATAAAGTGTGAATTCACTTCTTGGGCCTTCTGGCCAGATTTGCCCATAGAGTTTGTTGTTCCCATGAAACAAACAGTACAAACACTTCTAGAATTGACGCCGCGCGCATGGCAACACACCGCCCTTTGCCGAACTCGGGTCTGTCATGTTTGGAGGGTGCCACGTGTGGTTTTTCACCTGCGCCTACAGCCGGCCTGGCCATCGTCCGTCACTGGCAGCTCCAGAGTGTTCACAAACTTCATGGGGATCTCCGTCAGCCTCACGAGGCACAGGCGAGGTCGCGAGCCCTGAATTCGCACCCTTTTCAAGCCGGTGAACAATTTGGGGGCCTGCTTGAATAATTGGGTTTCTATACATGATTTAATAGCAACAAATCCCACAGCTCCGCACTTGTGCAAACACCACTAACCCCCTGAAAGTGTAGAAACCGCTTTCAAGCAGTCAGAGTCAGCCAGCTGGCTGGCAATGCGACGGGCAGTCAGCCGTGATCAGTGGAAAGACTCGAAAAACCCCTGGGCACAGGGGAATGTCAAACGCAAGCAAAAAAAAAAATCGGTTGGGTCGGAAGGTTGTACACGAATGTTGGACTCTGTTTAGTGTGATCCCCCCCCCCCCCCCGGAACAGTGGAACCAGTCGGCGGGACTCTCTTTAGGGAGATCCTGGGGGATCTGGGAGGGACAGTACTTACTTTAGTATTGCCAATTCTACTTTAGTATTGCCAAGGCTGACTCTCAGATCCCCGTACTTACTTTAGTATTGCCAATTCTACTTTAGTATTGCCAAGGCTGACTCTCAGATCCCCAGTACTTACTTTAGTCTTGCCAATTCTGCTTTAGTATTGCCAAGGCTGACTCTCAGATCCCCAGTACTTACTTTAGTATTGCCAATTCTACTTTAGCATTGCCAAGGCTGACTCTCAGATCCCCAGTACTTACTTTAGTATTGCCAATTCTACTTTAGTATTGCCAAGGCTGACTCTCAGATCCCCAGTACTTACTTAAGTATTGCCAATTCTACTTTAGTATTGCCAAGGGTCGTTTTTTCAGCAACCCCCGAAACCAGTTGGACACTAAAGAGGACCCCAAAACAGTCGCATTAAAGAGGATCTGGGCCTCTTGTGGGCACCCCCCTTTGTGTGACACGCACTTTTGTGTAAAGAAGTTATCTTAAATTTGATGGTTTGGGAACAACTTGCAAAATCGATTTCCTAGATCTCAGGCCTTTAACCTTTGAGCTGGGGAGAGCTTAGGATGAGTCCCCTTCTTTAAAAGTAAAAGGCTGAGGCTTTGGTTTTCAGTTTTCAGCAACCCCGAAAGCACTGGACACTAAAGAGGACCCCAAAACAATCGCATTAAAGAGGATCTGGGCCTCTTGTGGGCACCCCCCTTTGTGTGACTGTTTGCCCGCACTTTTTTGTAAAGAAGTTATCTTAAATTTGATGGTTTGGGGACCACTTCAAGAGAACAAATTCCCAATTCTAGCTAGCTCAGAACCCGCCTCCAGCTCAACAGGAGCTACCAAGGCTTAGCAAGTTTAGCCTGAGCCCGAGCAAATCCAGAAAGCGAAGAAAAAAGCTATGCGTTTTTTTAGATTTGTCTGGGGGGGGCAAAAAAACTTGCCACAATAGCGAACCGTTAAAACAGTCACAGGATTCTGAATTAGGAAAAACAATTCTACAATACCGAGTACCAATAATAAAGGAGGTCCAACATTAAAATGGCGCATAAAATGCACTTCCGCAGCTCCGGCTGGGAAGTCGAAACTTTTCAGCACGAGTAGCACATGAAATGCACTTCTGCAGCTCCGGCTGGAAAGTCGCACCTGTTCAGTACCAGGTCAGTACACGAAATGCACTTCGGCAGCTCCAGCAGCAAGTCGCAGCTTTTCAGTATCAAGTTAGTGCACTGACTAGCGTGGCGCTCAACAAGTACCTCCCCTTGCAATCGCTTTCGGGCATGCTTTCGCGGAATGTTCGCGCAAAGCCACCCACGTTGCAGAGCGTAGAGCCACCACCGACTAAGAGCACACACACACACACACTTGGAGCACTAACCAGCCAAGCAGGGTATCAAACTGTAGCCTCACCAGGCCTTATCACTTAAAGGGCAAACCGCAAAAGCAACAACAAGTTTAATCGGCTATGGAAGGAAGGCTCAACAAATCCTTGCGCATGGCACAACTTACAACATGACTGCTACGCCAAACGTTTGCGGAGCTACCTCAACCAACACCGGTCACCGAAGACAAAACTCCTTACAAGGACCTTTAGAACGACTCCTAGATATTACGATTATTACTATTATTATCATTATAATTACTATTATTATTACTATTGTTACTATTATATATATATACCTCCACCTTCCAAAGGGTGCAAAAAAACCGCCTGTTTAAGCACAAGTAGGTTTTGCTTTGGAACGGCGATCTTGTCAGGGAAGCGGCGATTCTTGATTGGGAAGCGCCGGGCGTGCCATGTCACATCGCATACTCTCAGCTGTCATGGCCCGGGCCCGTTCCTGTTGACGGCATCATTTCCGTCCCTGCATGCCTCTCCCACCCTCCTGCCCTTTTTCGCTCCTACCACTACAGGTACGTGGCCGAGTGGCCATGGACCATAATTTTTGCCACTGCATGAAACAGCGAAATAAATCAGCGCCTTGCTTGCGCAAAATTGGGCGGTTTCTTCAAGACTTGCCGCTTCAGAAAAGCCACATGGAAAACCGCCGGTTCAAGCGTACATTAACCTCTCGGTTTTGCCCTTCATTGCTGATCTGGCTCCTACTTTGCCCGCAGCGGCTTTCGGCTGGCCTGGGCCTTGGCTCGATACCTCCGGTGAAGGGCTCGAGCTTTCACGAGGTAGAGTTGCAACACCCGCTTCAACACTTGTTTTTGATCTTGAATTCTTGCCAACTAGGTCTTCGTTTTGCTCACAGCTGTGTATGAGCGGGTTTGCTATTTTGATGGCACCTTGCCTCAGGACAGCTTTGATTTATTTCAACAAGTGTGTGGTTGAAAGAATGCACTTTTGGCTTCATGGCCCACCCTGCAAATTTGAGTTCCCGAAGAGCGACACCTGCCAGTTGCGCGGAAGTCTGCTGGAACTCATAGTCTGACCAAAGCCCATGCTGATATAGAGCACCTGCGGGAATTTAGCAGCAATCTCGCATCCACGGCGCATCATGCGCAAGAGTGGGTGATCAAGTGGCGCTTGAATAAAGCCGCCAACCATTCCAAAGTAAGCATAACATCAGAGCCTGGACATTAAACCATGGATAGCTATCCTTCGATTCAGATGGCGCACAAGGCGAGGGGAGAAGCGAAGTGGGCAAACACAACTTGCGATACTCAGCCATCACGCGGGCCCATGTCTCAGCTGGGTCACTTCAAAGTAGGGTGTGAGGTGGCCTTACTATTCCTCAGGGAACTTGCGCAGATCATTTTTTGGGACTGTGGGGAGTACTCCATTTTTGAGACATTCAATTTCTTTTTGAAGGGGAAATCAGTACTCAATTTCTGAGACAGCACTAGACCGTCAGCACTTAATTTCTGAGGGGAGTTCTGAGGGGGGTCAGTACTAGAATCCTGAGGGGAGGCACCAAAAACCCCTACTTGAGCCCCCCGAAGCCGAATGAGAAACTGCTCGGGAAGCAATAGGGCCAACCATCAAATACTTGACAATTGCTTTTCGCGTCTCCTTCAAGCTCCCTTTCAAAGCAAGTAATGTACAAATCCCCGATAGGGCCAAGTATCAGGTAGCTATGTATACTATGTTTGTTCTTTCGTTTTCTTGGCCACGAAAGCCCCTTTGCAAAGTGCCGGAGAAAGAATCGTATTGTGACATTGGGAGCGCAAGTTCTGAGGGGAGTTCTGAGAGGGGGTCAGCACTAAAGTGTTGAGGGGGGGTGAGTACTCAATCACATAGAAAAGTGAGGGCGATTACTCACAGTTGGCCTTTGTAGGGCCAAAGAGTTTAAACACACGCTTGCACTTCCTCAATAATTCTTGTGGTTCTGCGGGGACTGATTAAAGAAACTTCTTCCGCCCTGGTCACTTGCAAGCAGCTTTTTGGGGCATCCAAGAAAACAAGGAAAAACGGGAAGCGCATGATGGTTGACCTTAATGTTTCTGCACAAAATAAGGTCTTTCGCTGGTACTTGTCGGCAACTTGCAGGCGGCTAACATGCACCACGTGGCTGGTTCCAACCCCACTACTGATTGAGCATTGTGTCCTTCGACACGAACTCTCCCTCAATGATCAACTCATTCGGTTCCATTTCCATACGGAGTGGCTCGCATTCCTGCTGGAAGGACCCTAAGATCAGGCGTTTCGGGCGACGGCTAATGAAAGCAAAGGGTCTCTGCAGAATCCACCTCACAGATCTTCTCAATGTTTTTGTTGGTGCCCCCTGCCATGCAGTCAGCAATGATGGCTTCGGTTCTTTGAAGGTCCCGTTTACCGCCTTCGAAGCTTTGTGATCGCCTCGCCGACGCCGACACCCCGGCTTTGGCTTACTTATTCTTGTTGGCAACAGCATCGTCCATGCAAGGGATTTCATCAAATCGTTGTTTTCTTCAGTTTCCTGAGAGTTCCCTTCATCACCTTCCGACTCACACTCATCATTCTCCCAACTGCAGCGTGGCTGCGCGATCGAGTTTGCTCTTGAGATCAACCACATCCGCCTCGGCAAGAGAAGTGGGAGATGCTTCCCTGGCCAAAGGCGTGGGCTCTGCAGGCCAGGAACCTTTGCCCAAGGGAGTCTCTTTGGCAGGGGCGGTGTGCACTTGGGTCGCAGCGAAGCTGGGCAAGGTGTAGACGGCCTGGGAAGGGCATACCCGTAGACCATAATCGCTTAACTGTATATACCATCATGTTGCTTTTGCTCCGGGGCCAAGACACAGACTCCGAAGGACTGGGCGGAGCAAGTGGCTGAGCGTCCGTCCACTCTTTCTCTTTCTTGTTCTTCCGATTCTTGAGTTCCTGGCGTTCCTTCTGGATAGCCGGTCTTGCAGCCCAGCAAGGAAAAGGCAAGGCGCTTCGAGTTCCATCAGCGTGGCACTGCTCCGCCAAAGTTGGACTTTCCTCCGCACCTTTCTTGCCAACCCACGGATGAGCAGGCAAGGTGTCCCATTGCTCGACAGTTCCTCAGCGGCCACCTGAGACTCCACCTTCCTCAGCGGCCGGATGCTATCCCCTCCCTTTCCAACCCTCAGGTTTGAAAGGGACCAGGGGTGACGGAGAGTTTCGCCAAATACATTCTATGCGTTTTTTCACGCAAACATTCAACTTTTCAAAAAGTGTGAAAAATGAAACGGCGATCTTGGGCGACCAACCGGCGATCTTTCGCGGCCAAACGGCGATCTTTCCCGAACCAGAAATTCGCAACATTGTAGGCCTCGCTCGTTTGCCCTTTTGCCCTTTCTGACGGCTTTGGTGGCTCAAACGGTCCTGGCGCCGAAGATCCGCTAGACCCCCCAAACACGGCAAAAAAAGGCAAAAGGGCAAACGGGCAAAGCCACGGCTTAAAATGTTGCGAATTTCTGGTTCGGGAAAGATCGCCGTTTGGCCGCGAAAGATCGCCGGTTGGTCGCCCAAGATCGCCGTTTCATTTTTCGCACTTTTTGACAAGTTGAGTGTTTGCGTGAAAAAATCGCATAGAATGTATTTGGCGAAACTCTCCGTCACCCCTGGTCCCTTTCAAACCTGAGATTGGAAAGGGAGGGGATAGCATCCGGCCGCTGAGGAAGGTGGAGTCTCAGGTGGCCGCTGAGGAACTGTCGAGCAATGGGACACCTTGCCTGCGCATCCGTGGGTTGGCAAGAAAGCTGCTGCACTGCATCACATTGCCCAGTCATGGACGCCTACCCTTTTCCTTAGGATGCTGGAGCAGGAAAGTCCAACTTCGGCGGAGCAATGCCACGGTGATGCAACTCGAAGCGCCTTGCCTTTTCCTTGCCGGGCTGCAAGACCAACAGGCTATCCAGAAGGAACACCAGGAACTCAAGAATCAGAAGAACGCTCAGCCACTTGCTCCGCCCAGTCCTTCGGAGTCTGTGTCTTGGCCCCGGAGCAAAAGCAACATGATAGTATAAACAGTTAAGCGATTGTGGTCTACGGGTATGCCCTTCCCCGGCCGTCTACACCTTGCCCAGCTTCGCTGCGACCCAAGTGCACACCGCCCCTGCCAAAGAGACTCCCTTGCACAAAAGTTCCTGGCCTGCAGAGCCCACGCCTTTGGCCAGGGAAGCATTTCCCACTTCTCTTGCTGAGGCGGATGTGGTTGATCTCAAGAGGAAACTTGATCGCGCAGCCACGCTGCAGTTGGGAGGATGATGAGTGTGAGTCAGAAGATGATGAAGGGAACTCTCAGGAACCTGAAGCAAACAACGATGAATCCCTGACATGGACGATGCTGCTGCCAACAAGAATCAGCCAAAGCCGGGAAAATTGCACTTTTCGGCATCGGCGAGGCGATCAAGGCTTCGAAGGCGGTAAACGGGACCTTCAAAGAAGCGAAGCCATCATTGCTGACTGCGTGGCAGGAGGCACAAAAAAGCATTGAGAAGATCTGCGAGGTGGATTCTGCAGAGACCCTTTGCTTTCATTAGCAGTAGCCTGAAACGCCTGATCTTAGGGTCCTTCCAGCAGGCATGCGGGCGACTCCGTATAAAAATGGAATCGAATGAGTTGATCATTGAAGGAGAGTTCGTGTCGAAGGACACTGATGCTCAATCAGTGGGGTTTGAACCAGCCACGTGGTGCATGTCAGCCGCCTTCAAGTGGCCGACAAGTACCGGCGAAGGACCTTGCTGTGCAGAAACAGTAAGGTCAACCATGATGCGCTTCTTGGATCTTGGATCCCTTGTTTTCTTGGATCCCTCAAAAACCCGCTTGCAAGTGACCAGGGCCGAAGAATTTCCCTAATCAGTCTCCGCGGTTCACGAGGATGACGAGGAGGTTGATGCTTGTGTTTAAACTCTTTGGCCCTACAAAGACCAACTGTGAGTAATCACCCTCACTTTTCTATGTGATTGAGTACTCACCCCCCCCTCAACACTGTAGTGCTGACCCCCCTCAGCACTCCTCTCAGAACTTGCGCTCCCAATGTCACAATGCGACTCTTTCGGACGAAGAGAACGCAAGAACAAAACTAGTATACATAGCTACCTGATACTTGGCTCTGTCGGGGATTTGTAAACTAATTGCATTGAAAAGGAGCTTCAAGGAGACACAAAAACAATTGTTAATTCTTTGATGGTTGGCCCTATTGCTTCCCGAGCAGTTTCTCTTGCGGTTTCGGGGGACTCACGTAGGGGTTTTTGGTACCTCCCCTCAGGATTCTATTACTGACCCCCTCAGAACTCCCCTCAGGAATTGAGTATTGGCTTACCTTTCAAAAAGAAATTGAGTGCCTCAGAAATTGACCCCCCAGAAATTGAGAACGGGATTCCGTTGTCCCCACAGTCCCCAAAATTGATCTGCGCAAGTTCTTTGAGGAATAGTAAGGCCAACTATGCAGCCAGTTCAATTGACACTGTTTGTGAGCGTTTGTTTGGGTCTTCATATCCTATTTTGAAGTGACCCAGTTGAGACATGGGCCCGCGTGATGGCTGAGTATCACAAGTTTGTGTTTGCCCACTTCGCTTCTCCCCCTTCGCCTTGTGCGCCATCTGAATCGAAGGATCGCTATCCATGGTTTAATGTCCCGGGCTCTGATGTTATGCTTACTTTGGAATGGTTGGTTGCCATCATTGGCGGCTTTATTCAAGCGCCACTTGATCACCCACTCTTGCGCATGATGCGCCGTGGATGCGAGATTGCTGCTAAATTCCCGCAGGTGCTCTATATCAGCATGGGCTTTGGTCAGACTATGAGTTCCAGCAGACTTCCGCGCAACTGGCAGGTGTCGCTCTTCGGGAACTCAAATTTGCAGGGTGGGCCATGAAGCCAAAAGTGCATTCTTTCAACCACACACTTGTTGAAATAAATCAAAGCTGTCCTGAGGCAAGGTGCCATCAAAATAGCAAACCCGCTCATACACAGCTGTGAGCAAAACGAAGACCTAGTTGGCAAGATTTCAAGATCAAAAACAATTGTTGAAGCGGGTGTTGCAACTCTACCTCGTGAAAGCTCGAGCCCTTCACCGGAGGTATCGAGCCAAGGCCCAGGCCAGCCGAAAGCCGCTGCGGGCAAAGTAGGAGCCAGAGCAGCAATGAAGGGCAAAACCGAGAGGTTAATGTACGCTTGAACCGGCGGTTTTCCATGTGGCTTTTCTGAAGCGGCAATTCTTGAAGAAACCGCCCAATTTTGCGCAAAGCGCTGATTTATTTCGCTGTTTCATGAAGCGGCGAAAATTGTGTACCACAAGAATGTCCAGGTATACACACATATGATCTACATACATGCAACAGCGCCGATGAAGATCACCTTTTGCTGGTTGCAAGCAACTACTCGTTAACAACACAATTAGATGCCAACACTCCAAGCAAAAAGCAGCCAAAACATCCCGAAACACAAGGACCACTCAGGTCTGTTTACTTTGCCAACCTGCTAAGTTCACTGGCTACCACAAGTTTCAGTATTTGGGAATCTGAACAGGTAACAGGTAAGTTGGTAAGGAACATGTCATGGTTGTGGACAATCATCCTTTCTGTGATACCAATGCAGTCTGCCCCCATGACTACTTCATCATTGTCAAGGGTGTTCGCTTGGTATCACTGAAAGTGGTCCTAAAACCAAGCTGTCCACAACCACGGACCCCCAAAACCCTTGCCTCCCGGTTGACCACTTGGGCATGGAGTCCTTCCTGCGACAAGGGCGAGCTTGTATCGCAGCAGCTGGCCCCGAGTGAACAACTCATGATACAGGGACCCACAAATAGATGGGTTCCTCTTGGTCTCCCTTTTAAACCGTTCAACAGGTGGCTTCCTCAAAACAACAAACACACACACACACACGGGACTGTAGCAAAAGGGGCCATCTGACTGGTTGCAGAAGTGCTAACAAGCAACCCAGAAACTGGCTCCAACCTTACCGAACGAGGCTCGGTCACTCATGCAAGTTCAACCAATGGAAGGGCTGTGTTGAAACCTCCTCATTGAGGTTTCTCTTTGAAGCACACCCCCTCCAAAACAGTTACAAGTTGACAAACAAGTTATGCCGTGAATATAGATAACAGCGGGGTAATCCGGGTAATCGCTATTCCCGGCCGTATCTACAGCCCACAGGCATGACTTTTCAAGGCTGTTGTCCACTTCCCCGTTTGAAAGCAGATCCTCTCACGGGCCCATCCCGCTTAGCAAAGCTTTGTCGAAAGAAAGAACCTGTGCGACTCCAGGCAGCCGGTACAATTCCCTTTGAATAGTTGTATATCCCAAGAACCCCCCGAAGTGGTTGCAGGCAACGAGCATCTCGGAACTACTGTGGTTCTCATAGTAGACTGAACAGTGCTCAAAATGGCGGCACCCTTTTTCGGGTTGGCTTTCAAGAGGAAACCAAAGGAACTTTGGGGGCCCCTTATTTGGACATACGTGGGACAATCTCAGACTGGGATTCGGACCCCCTTTTGGTTGGTTCGAGGGACACCAAGAGGAAACCGTTGCGGATCCCTATGAGGAACCCCTTGCGGCATTGAGGATGCCCTTTGTATCCTGGCCCGGCTTCCCAAATCTGGGGCAGTGACCTGAAGTCCTTCCGCCCTGTAAGGTTCATGCCGTATCTCAAGGCCTCGGCCGTCTCAAGGGGTAAGACGAGGCGACGGCCTTCGGAATGGAAAACCCCGATCACCAAACACATGTTGGTTCAACCATATCCTTTCAACTTGTCAACTTGTCACGCTACATCTTGAAATAGAATTCGGAACGCGCAACACAAAAGTTTGGAATCTGTTGGTTACCCTTTGAACCAACCCAAGAAGGCTACCCTCAACAAAAAGACACATCTGCAAGCCGGAAGGAAACTGGAGGTCGAAAAACATTGATTGAAGTTGGACAAACAGGGTAGCTGTGTCTACACTTTCGATAGGGCATCACAAAAAAGTGGCGATGCCCTTTTGCTTGCCCTGCGAAGGCCATCCTGAAGGGACAACTGCCTTTCAATACCTCTTTTTCTTATTAATAATTGGTAGGCAGGAGAGTTTTAGAAGATCATCATCTTGAAAACGACTCCTGTCCAGTTCCACGTGAAAACCATACAAAACGGGGGTGCCTAATTGTCGCATTGCGACCTTCCCTCGAAGTCTCTGCAACAACAGATACCTACCCGCATTGTTTTGCAGCTGGAGTGCCCTGACGAGTTCAACCAAAATGGTCCCAAACAATGACAAGGAGTGCTTTTCGTTCCTCTAATCAAGCCCTTAACGATCTTCTGAATTTGAAACACCACCGTGATTTCTGAACAAAACCACTTGCTTTAGCAGTGGAAATCCTCTTGAGCTGGTAAAGGTCATTCTCTCGGTTGCTTTCTGCTCCCCTGCTAAAAGTTTGACTTTTAGTGGTTTAGTGGAAAACCCATTAGTTGGCAAAAAGTCAAAGTCCTAACAGCCAAGCAGCATGCACCAAAGTTCCCTATCTGGACCCAGTGTCCAGGCAAGTCTCGCAATAGAACAAGCGGTGGGTGTGCCCTGCTGGGAATCTGAGGGACTAGCATCCGTGATGTAGACGACGGCTTCATCAATGGGGAGGAACCTCACGGAGTCCATGTCTACCGGGAGGTTCCTCAAATGGAATATATACATATATATATATAGTGCATTTGAGATACTGCGTTACGGGATATCAAAAGGACACCACACAGTTTCGGGCTCTAGTTCCGAGATATTCCTGGTCAGCCCTGGCAAAGACACCTTCTGACTTCCACACGGCAAGTGAGGTTTAAAGAGCAAACCATGGCCCCTTGTACAGTAAAGGCAAACTCATCGGCCAAAGGAAGCTCGTATTCTAGTTCCCATGTCCGTTGGCTGCATGGAACAGCGATAAGCAAAAGAAGAATGACAGCAGGCGCATCATCATCTGGGAAGGTGGCATGAAGGGCAGGCCCAATGTTGAGTAACTGGTAGGATGGAAGGACAAGGTCATCCGCGGCATAGCTCAACCCCTTGCTGATTTCCGGATGGGATAATCCAACCTCACCAACTGGCAAACGTAGCTCAATCTGTGCAACCCAAAACGGTGTTGAGCCAAAGCTCCTGCTGATGAAAAAGCCAGGATGTTCTGACCAACACACACCCTGTCCTGGTCAAAAGGCAACGGATCTTCCGGGACGATCTCTTAGCGACATCCAGTCTAGGTGAGAGGGTACCATGATGTTCGTGTTGAATAAATGGTCTTAAAAGTAAAAACAAATGGTTCCCTTTCGCTTTTGGAAACATAGCACATGGCATAGTGATTGGCAACTCATCGCCCAGTGTGACGCAAAGAAAAAAACAAAAAAACAACTTTGGGCGGCTAGGTGCACATTGGGATAGGGCCTTCATGGCCCCAAAAGGATCTGCTTGGCGCATAGAGAGGGGGGCAAGGCCAAAGGTTCTCAGCTCCTTTGAGCAAAACCCAATCGGACTGCCAATGGAGCACTGTCAACGCCATGGCTCACTTGACTGAAACAAAAGGCTCACCTTTTGAGTCCATCATTGAATGACCCAAACTGGCTCAAAACAACCACGCCTATAACACAGTCGAAATATGTCGGAATGTGTTGGTCGCAACTCAGCTGGTCACAGCGGGCCCGGGTTGATCTGGAAGCCGTTGGCTTTTCTCAAGAGGAAAAGCAATGGAGGGGTACTGGAAGAGCTCACAAAACAGCTTCATGTGGCCCACACAAACGCAGAAGCAGCGACTAAAACCCATTTGTTTTCTTTGGTTCTACCAAAATGGTTGCGAAGGCCAACATTCTCCACACTCCCGCTTGTGTGGCCAACCAGGGTTTTTGAGCTCTGAACATTTGAGCCCTCTGAATTACCTCCCAACATTGGCCATCCTTTGATACGCTGCATGGCTCTAGGCCCCGGACAGCTTGAGATCTGGATCTCTTCTTCTCCACGACTGGACAGCGATTCCGATTTCCCCAGCAGGAAGCCATTGATCAATGCGTTGCAGTAAGTGGTTGGTCACACCCACACCCACACCCACACCCACACCCACACCCACACCCACACCCACACCCACACCCGCACGCACGCGCACACACACGCATGTCCACCTTGAAAGCGACCCCGTATGGAAACCAACCGTGTTTTAAGGCCCCAACACACTTGGGAACACTTGGGTGCGATTGTTTTCATGTAGTTGTTCCTCATGGCCCAAAAGGGTATCAAGCGAAAGCATGACACATCCACTTTGGGAAGCCCCATCCAGCGTCTTGCCTGGACTAGCGGACCCACTGTTTCAACATGTTGCAACACCTCTTTGTGTGTTAACATCCTCTTTGTTTCACTTTGAAGGCCGCCAAGGCATGTTTGTTGACTCCCCTGATTGGCAGACACGGAACCCAAAAAGCCGTCATGTTTTGAGAAAACTCCTTTTGGTGCCCCCAAAATTGGGTTCCATGCTGATAAGGAAAGCAAACTTATATGGGTTTCTGCGTGCTTTCCCTGTACTCCAAGGCAAAAAGGATATTCCTCGAAAGAAAATGCGCACACACACACACACACAGACATGCACGGATTCATGCACGCACGCACGCACGCACGCACGCGCCCGCGCGCGCGCGGCGCGCGCACATGGCACACTTTGCAACCAACCCTGGTCCGGAATGCCTCAGTGCAGTACTCCACCACCTCCGTCTCATTCTCGCCTTTCCCCTCCTACGCATCGACCGGACCAGTCGCCATTCGAAGCGGCTCGCCACGTGGCTTCTGGCTTTGGTTTGGGTGGGTGGGTGGGTCCTGGAATTATGAAATCATGACTCCGAGTCCAGGGAAAATGGGTTCAGCAGGGGCCAGGTGACGGGGCGCCAGCCAGCGCCAGACTTTAGAACATGGTTTCTGATGCTTGCAAACGAGTCAAATGTCAGCGATTCTTTCAATGCCGTCTCAAGGTCGCCCCTTCCAATCAGCACCTTAAAGGCCCGCTGGGCAAATTTGGTCAGTCTGCCTCAGTCTGCAAAATCGAGGCCCACACATTCCGTACAGCAAACACAAGCCCCATGCGTGGCGGAGCCCTTATATAAGCAGAACCCACAGGAAGGAAGCGAGAAGTATGCAGAGTCCGCTACCTTCATGGCAGCTCTGTGTTCGTTCTGGTCACCAAATCTAGATCTACGCCTGCGCACCCAGGTGCGGAGGTGTCGACACTCATTCAGGGTAGTTTGCCACATGCAAAAGGCTCCCCTTTGGTATTGCAGAAAGTGGCGAAAACTCTGTTCAACGCGCGCATGTTGTTCACACGTCTGCACTACCTGCATGAAGAACTCCCCATGTAAAATATCTTCATCATGGGTGAGCTCACCTTACCTCAACGTGGGCTCGTTATTGGTGCAAACACATTGGTGCTTTGGTCGCCAAGCTCCTCGTAGCTCTCGAGGATCACGGCAATCACCAAGTTCATGATCATGATGGACACAAACAAGGTGTAGGTTACCTTGTCTAAGAGTGGGCCAATTCGCTCGTGTTTTCAACATGTTCAGACCGTTGTCAAACACATCCTGGTTCAGGTTTCCATCAGGCCGGCAAAGGGAGCTGACCAGGGATTCTGACCCCCGGCATCAAACTCTTGGTGATCAGCACCCGCACCCGGCCCGAAGCCGGCGGATACCAAGTGATCGACAGCCAGGCCTTTGGAAAACAAACATCATGGGCACGGAAACAAAAGTCGAGAAGAGTTGCCAAGAGCCAGGTCCACAAACGGGTCCGATCCAGAAAGAAAAAAACAAACTCCAACTGTCTTCCTATCAGGGGTCCCAAGGAGAAAAAAACCTACTGGCCTTCTGGCCCCTCTTGAGCACACAACTATGTAGATTGGGCCCCTCGACCAAAGGACTGGTTGAGGACACCCCCTTCCGCAGCGCACATTTTGAAAGGGCATGAATCTCGTGACCAAGCGTTGAATGTTCGATCCCCTCAGAGGAATCCCTCGAGCGACACAGAAGACCCCCTCCTTTTTGGGGGCCATGATGACCCCTCACCCTGAGACCAAAGCCCAGTAGGTCAACGGGATCAGCTGGCCCAGGACCCAGTTGTTCACGCAGCTGTTTGGCCTGCTCAGGAAAAACAAATGTACGCGTGACGCTCAAGAGAAACAAAAATCCGCGGGTTGGGGCACCCCCCCTCCAATTCTGTGAAGCTCTATTCAGACCAAGATGAGATAAGGATGAGATAATCTTGAAGCATTTCTTCTGGCACAAAGCATATTCACTGTATATGTACATGCCAAAACTAGCGTACCCTCCACATCTTTGGCTCCCTGTTGTTGCTTCTCAAACAGGTCCGGAAAGGGAGGGGGCCAGCCCGTGCTGGCACATACCGTCACACACCTATATTGCTTAGCTCAAAAGGATGCCATATTCTTGCGGGAGACACGGCGGGGGTACACTGTTGAAATGGGGGGGGGGGTCGGGGGGGGCCCCTTCGGATGAGGTTACCTGGATATCCCGGTACCATGTTGATTTCCAGTGTTTGTGCTACAGGGAAAGCACAGCCCATTTTAGGCTGGTCATTGGTTGCCATTCACCGTAGTTTGTTTCCCCAGGCTCTTGCACAACTGGACATGTGTCAACACCAGATCACCCCTTTTCGGCACCGCCAAAAAATCAACACCAGTCAAAAACCGGCCCTTCACCATGTTCTTTTCACAACCATTGGCCACAATGAAAGAAAAAGAGCCATAAAAATGGGTCCCCAATTTCGAGAAACACCTATGTGGTAAGGTTGCTCGAAAGGACATGTGGACTTAGAGACACCCCAGATTTGCCGTTGGAAGTGAGAGGCTTGTGCCCCCCAGTGAACCATAGACGTTGACCTCACGTCGATCCTTGTGTCCAGGGCGAAGCGGCGAAGCCACACGCAAACAACTCTGCCTCTCAATCAGGCACTTCTCAGAGAGCACCTGACGCGAGCTGGCTCTCTCATTTGGGTGCGCTTCTAAAGTGGGCGAGTACTTCAATGATGGGTTTTGCCAGAAAGAACCCCAAATAGGGTGCCCCCCTCCCCAAAAAGACGTACCTGCCAAGACTTCTCTAGGGTGATCAAGAATGGCCTGAACGCTTGGTCCATGTCAATTACGACGAGGCATGGGGCCTACCTGTTAAGCATGTTTACAAAGCTTCAGTGAAAACATCGAACACTTAGGGAAGCATGAAAACGGCCACATCGCTTCTACTTTCAGGGATCCGTAGATGTTCGGCACCTGCTTGCACGCCCTTGCCCGGCACCCCACGGAAAACAACGCAGCTTTGAGGGTGCTCATGCTGAGTGAGCCAAATTCCCGTTCCGTGTTGAGGTATCAAGAAGGGGGCTCAATCATTTTGGGCAACCAACAAACCGCCGGAGAAAAGTACAAAACACCCAAGGCGTGCCCAGCCTCGAAGGTTGCAGGCCCAGTATCAAAAAGATAGTCTGGCCTTGGAGCGTTTAGTTGAACCGAAACGACCCGCGAATGAATACACAACAAAGCGACTTGGACGGCATATATTTTTTCCAAGACCGCAAAGACCTCCTTGTGGTGAAAGTATGCAATGTGATACCCCATTGATTTAATGCACCTCATAGACTATAGACTATACTGCTTTGTCACTGGACCCCTGTCCAGCCCGGACCTGACTCATCAGGGATCTTCTAAATCGTGGACTTATGTTCAAACCACAAATTCAACTTCAGTTCGCCACGTTTTGGGCTTCCCTACTTGAGAGCTCATTATTCTGGGTGTGTTTCAAAATAGGGGGACCCCCAAATTATGTTGACCCCATATTAATCAACCAACCAGATTATTGATAGGGGGATGAGTTTCCCTCGTTTTAGTGGTTGGAATCAGACCACTTTTGGAGGGCCCCAAGACTACCCCGAATGTGATAAACTGGTTGCTTCCTCGCCGCAGCCCCCACCCTCCTATACATGTTGGCTGGTTGACTAATGTGGGGTCAATATTATTCAGTCAGCTTCTTTGAGAGAATCGTGTCTCAGCCTCTGGCGTGCACCAGTCGCCTGATGCAAAGATCTCCCTTGGAGATCGAGCCTTGGCTTCCGGCAATCCTCTCGGGTGACATAGCAAAGAGGCCCTTGTTGGAGCGGTGTGTGCGAATATATATATATATATATATATGTATATGTATATATGTACATATTATATACATATATGGATACATATCATATACATATAATATGCATGCATGTACATACAATATGCATGCATGTATATATATATATATAATATTATACAAAATCAAAGGACACCGACCATCTGATAGCCCAGGTTTTGATGCTCAAAAAGTAAGGATGCCGACTCGAATTGTCCTGTTGGGCCCTAGTTTTTGGACACTCAGATGCATGATGGATTCTCAGGCTGCTGCGATGTCATGCATAATTTGATTCCATGCCTCACCGGTGGAGGCTCGGAAGAGGGTGATGAATGCCTGCACCTCAGCTGACGATGGGCGTCTCCAAAATGCTAGACCGCTGAAATGGATGATTTCTTGTTGGTTTCCTTTTTAGCGCACCCAAATAGAGTAGCCTCATAAACAAACATAGCCAGGCTCTCTTCTGTTGATGAAGCACCATCTGAGACCAGCACAAAGTCCTTGAAATTGCCTCAGGATCAGAATTGTCACTCGCTCAAGATGAGAACTCGTCCTCTCACCCTCACACCCACAACCACACCCCATCTTGAATAAGCACAAGTAACGCGGCTGTCCGAACAAACACACGGTCCATGTTGAAAAATGGAGTGACATTTCCAAGCTGGTTGTGACTCTTTGTCTCTCTTCAAAGACTCACAGACAGGAGGCTGCTGCCAAGCTGCACTGGACACTCTCGGAAGAAAATTTCAGAGTGGAGAACAAGCTGACACCCAGGATGCTGTACCTGACGAGTCAGTGAGCGAACTGCCCCCTCGCTGAGGCAAAACCTCAAATTGATATCCCCGGTTTGAAGTGGCGCACAAAGTCAAGAGCAGCAGCAAGATTGCTCCGACATTCACCAATTTTGGGACTGACCTTGGCAGAACGTACGACCATGCGCGTTGTTCTCGTGAATCACATGCAGTTGTTGCCGCATTTTCTCCAAGCACACTCGATTCTGAGCAATCCCGAAGCTTGCCAGGTTGCTCAGAACGCAGCTTGCACACATTCTCCTGATTAACCGTAAAATCACAGCGAAGCAACCGCGTACCCCTAGCACGTACCCCTAAATGTTGGGAGTTGTTAGGATCTTTTGTCTCACTGTACATATTCTCCTGCCTAACCGGGCCCAACATTACAAAACACTCACTTCATCATAGGTTCCGCCACATGTCCACGGTGTTCTCAACTGAAGGCCTCGAAGTGCCTCGCTTTTCCGTCTCACCAAGGCCCAGGCGCAGCAAGCGCGGCAAAAATCTTCTTCACACCCTTCAGGTATTTCATCCTAGGCTGCCACTCGTTCTTTGTTACTGTCATCTATTTCGTTTTTGATTTATTTCTGGCTGATTTACTTATTGAATTATTGCTGTCCTTCGTTCTTTATTTCTGTATGTTAGTGGTTCCTTATTTATTCATTATTCCGTTGTTTTCTTTCTGCCTGTATTTCTGTTCTTCCTGGCTTTCTTTCTTTGTTTCTTTCTTTCGTTCTTTGCTTATTTGTTTCATAGTTGTCTTCCATTTGTGCTTTCTTTATTTATTTGTTTTTTCTTTATTTCCTTCCTTCCTTCCTTCCTTCATTCCTTCCTTCTATATTTATTTTCTTTTTTTCTTGTCTTTTCTGTTCTTTTCCTGTCTTCCTTTGTTTCTGTCTTTCTTTCATTCATTCATTATTTCATAATTTATTTGTTTACTTGTTTCTTTCCTTATTTCTTTCTTTCTCTCTCTCGTTTCTCGCGTATCCCAGGATACTGCCATCAATCGTTGCCCTCAACATCATAAAAGCCATTGATTGCCCTGGAGATGCTTGCTTGCAACTTCACTGTTGCCGGTGCCCTTGCTCAGCTCGATTGAATCGCAACGGGGCGAACAATTTACCACGCCACCGCACCCGACCACACCCCACCACACCCCACACCCCACACTCCACACCCCACACCACACCCCACACCACACCCCGCACCACACCCCACACCACACCCCACCCAGCCCACACCCCACACCCCAGATGCCCCGCCCCCACCCCACCCCACCCCACCCCACCCCACCCCACCCCACCCCACCCCACCCCACCCCACCCCACCCAACCCAACCCAACCCCAACCCAACCCAACGCAACCCAACCCACCCACCCCACCCCACCCCACCCGCCCCGCCCCGCCCCGCCCCGCCCCGCCCCGCCCCACCCCACCCCACCCCGCCCCGCCCCGCCCCGCCCCGCCCCACCCCACCCCACCCCACCCCACCAGTCTGCTTACACACTGTTACGTGTTGCATGTGTCAAAAACTGGCGAGCCGGCGCAAAAACACACTCGGAATGGCATGTCTCATTCCGAAGAAATTAGATGTTCAACCCCACCTACTTTCTAAGTAGGTTGTAACCATGGCTATGAGTTAGCCAACCCAAGTTGCTTTACTGGTGACACTGGTTAAAACCTAAAACCTGTGCTTAGTAGGTCAACATCTCAGTCAGTTCTTCTCCGCAAACTGAGGCGCGGGCAAACGGAAAAGCCTTGCCACTCGAAAGACCGAGGTGACGCCAGTGACGTTTAACGTCGTTGTGTCCCTGGCGTGCGGTCGATGGGAACAAACTGGATGCATCAATTGACATGCACAGTGGAGCCGTGAAAAGGAATGACCTTCAAACCAACACATGGAACAAAGAAAAATCACAGCGGGTAAGTTTTGTTTGGACACCAACTTGGATTTGGACCGCGCTCGCGATAGGGACGGTTTGAGACATCAGGCGCTCTTTGGATGATGAACTGAGGCGGTCCCACGTCGGCACAGGCCCATACATGCCAACACGCAGCTTTCAATCCCTGTCTTCGCTCATGAAATCGTGATTGAGCCCCCCCCTTTCTGCCAATTAAAAGAAAACAAACTGGAATTTGCCAGTTTATTTAGGAGCATGACATGCTCCTACCTAATGTGCTTTTGAGGGTACCTTTTCCAGGTGGGTTTCACGGGATAGCGCCCCACCCTCGCCAAACTTCTGGGGCTGCTGCTCCAAAACGATTCCAAGCCTGCGCGGCAAGACCGAATCTTGCTGCCGGAAGAGGCGGCTCCAGCGGGGGAGAGCAACGGAAGCCGGCAGTTCATTTCAGATCCAGCTTCACTGGAATGAAACTAGTGGATTCCTGGTTACATCCATGTGACCGAGCTCCAACCTCGTGACTCCACTTGGCGACAACAGCCCAGTTCGAGGAACGCAGCCAAGCAATTTGACGAGTTGCTGATCAATGGCCTCTCGGAAAAAAAGGAAGCTTTGTGTGGTCACGGGAAGGGCTGCTCAACCCAGACTACACCCTCCAGCAGGGGACCACATGGAAGCCATCACAAACTCGGCTGCCGCGGCCAGTGAACCATGATACATCTTGCTGTGTTTAGCTTGCACAACAAACATCGCTATCGGCAATACATCGAAACATCGAAATATCAAACCCTCAAGCAAATGTACCGAGCGCCAAAGATACAAGACACCACAATTACTAACGCAAACTTCTCACTGGCTTGAAAGAGAGCCCCGTTTCCCTGGAGTCACAGCAGCTTTGCTGAGAGGGCCAGCAGGGGCTGAATTATGTACTCCTGGTTCGGCAAATCAGAACACCAGTTTCTACCACACTCTGAATCAGAAAGAGTCTGGCATACAACGAGGGCATGTATCAAAATAGGGGGGGGCCAACAGTTGTGGCCGCCATCGCATCGGCTTTCCTCCAAACCAACCTGAAAAGGGTACCCGCAAAAAGGCACGCACACAGGCAAATAGAAGGTTTGCGCTAAAGCTACCGTGGAATCCCTATTGCAAGTTTATCAACCAACCAATTCTGGTAACTTACTGGGCTCCTTTGTTCCTACTTGCAATGGGTAGAAAATCAACCGCACCTCAGTCCTTCCGAACTGAACCGCGGCTAGACAACTCTGCCAAGACTTAGACGCAAAGGAGCTAAGCGGCGAAAATCAAAAAAACACAATACAAGGGTGTCCGCACATAGCACTTGGACCCAACCGACTATTGGTGTCCGCGGGGTTGCCAAAAGGAACCTGTTCAACAGAAAGACCTTCTTCAGACACATCCGAGGGTAGGCCCGCTAGGTGCAAAGCAGACCAGCCACTGGGGCCGAGATGCCTTCGAATACACAACGTCACATTTAATGGTCTCATACAGAGTCACATATCCAGTGTCAAACAGCTACAAATTGCACCCCGGCCCCAACAAACCGTACACTTTCCCTGCAGCCAAGCCGCAGTGAAACTATAACACAAAAGAAGTCGAACTGATTCCATCTGTCCTGGCGCACTTTGCACGGAAGGATTGCCCTTCATCGGCAAATTCTGGGTCGCAGCTCACTTGCCCAAAGACCAGAACATTCGCAAAGAAAAGCTCAAACTTCCAATTTCCTGGCAAAAAGAAAACCAACAAGGAAGGCAACCACAGTGTCAGTGAAAGGTCACCGGCGGTTTCACCTTAAGATGGCTTTTCCTACCTGCATAGAATGCTGAGGCAGTCCTCCCAGTATGCCCACCGGAGCGCATACAACTTCAGCAGCATTTCCAGCGTGAAGATACCAGAGAAACATCTCTTCCCGACCTCGAGACGGACCCAACCCCGCCCTGTGAAATACACAACTTCGCAAGCACTGAAAAGTAGCTGTTCTGTTAGCCACTGCTTGGCCAAACAAAAATATATTCATTTCATGAGTGAAGAACTTGTGCGCAAGGCTCTACACCCCGCCCCAAACAAGTGGGCCAAGGAGGCAACCCGGCGCAGCCCTGCAATTTTGCAGAGGGACCACTGTCTTTGTTTTGTTCTCAGTAGTTTTCTTGCCCACCAGGCCAATGGAGAACCCAATGCTTCTTTTCTGTGATTTAAGTGTGGTCTTGGTGCATGAAAGCACAATGTTGCCGCTACAAGCCAAGAAAACCTAATGATCGTAGATGTTTATAAACCGCCCTCTACTACAGCGCATAAGGGGGAACTATTGTAAGGGATGCCAATACTCGGGCAGTGGCCAGCGCATTGGGACACAGGGAACTCATTTCGAGATTGAAATGTCACCTTGAAAGTGGAAACATAGACAGCCCTGCTGCGACATGAAGCTAAGTCTCGCGCGTACATCATGTCGTCCCACCAGTCGATTCTCGCTGGAAACATCGTCATGGCCATGAGCGCCTCGTGGCACAGGAACTCGCACCACAAAGTCAGGCAATCACGCGCTGACCTGCCTCTCTTTTTTTTGTTTTGCTTCTTGCTCGAGGGGGAGGCTGGAAAAATCCAATGATGCATGCCGGTCTGGCTTCCTTTACTGGACATAAACATCCACGAATCGTTTAGCAGCTCGTCACATTCCAGCCATCACTAACACAGCTGCGGCCCGAGTCCACCACTGAGTTCGATACTTGATAAAGCTCTTTCACGGACGAAATCCTTCCGGTCCCAAAGCAGAGAATCACTGCCATTTAGGTGCGCCTCAAACTTTGGAGGGAGAACCGTCCTCCAGGTCGCTTTTTCCCTGTTGGTTCCCTTTGAAGCCCAAACAAAGGGTCTCGCATTTTGAGCCAACCCCAAAACATCATGATTGATCCGTTCTGTACCAGTTGAAAAGGTCAATTGTTTTTGGCCTCGAAATTCACACGGAACCTCAAACGCCATCACTTCTCGGAGATTCGAATCTCCTTTGGGGGAATCCCCTTGTTTGGGGCTCCATCCATGTGTGTACACCTCTCCCTGTATCGAAAATCCAATCCGAGAAAATTTCGGGGGCCCCCGGCGGAATTCACCGCGATGGCCGCCAGGATCAAGGTCTCAAACCAGAAGCTGCTGATGATGTCATAGGCCTGGCACCGTTGCATCAGGGTGCCCGACGCCAGTGAGGCACCATGAAAACCCGAGGCGGCAAAATGGAGTCTACCGAGAGACCCAAACGTGGCCGGAAAGCTAAGCCTATTGGTAATTGGGACTATCCTGTAACCTTCACAGGCTTTGATTGTGACTCAGTTTCGGTTTCTCTTCGAAATCCCTTGGTTGCCCGGTGACCCCGGTAGAAACTGGACACCCTGGACGCTGGAACATGGGACAAACCACCCCGCAAATTACCACAAAGCCGGGGTCTCTCCAACAGAAGATTCCAGATCCTCAAATTGGGTAATTTTCAAGGCTTGTCATTGCCTCAAGGTTCAGAGCAAGCCTGCGGGTGATTGTGGAAAATGGTTCCATGTTTCTGTAGCCGTAGACTTTGGAGTGGTCGTTCCCTTTGTCCCAGATAGGAACTGTGGATGACGGAGTCTGTGTGGCTGATGCAGCAAAAGAGAAGGATTCAAGGCCCATACACGGGTGTGCTTCTTTTCAGGGGACCCACAAAACGGTGGCTTTCCTTTTGGTTTCCCTTTGAAGCCACAAAAAACGGCTACCCTCAAGAAAAAGACACACACACACACCCATGTTGCTAAGGGGAAGGTGGTCAAAATTCATCGATATGGCCCTTGGAGCGCCCCAGCCACTAGCTCCGATCCCGCGGCCTTGCGGCGCAGGAGCGGCATCAAGTCCAGGTCCCTGGCCGGCGACGTGACGTCGGGCAGAAAGCCAAAAGGCGGGATGCCACAACTGGTTGGATGTCCTCGCCAAAACCATCGTGTTTCCCACGGGCGTATCAAGCCCCGAAAGAAAGAACATAAACTAATAGCTAAATACATAAATGAAGAAACAACATAAACAAATAAAAACCTATTTCCCCTTCTAAGGCGTCTGAAGCCCCCGAGACAGTTTATATTGTTCTCCAGATGAAAGCTTTGGGGGGTCTTTGCCAGGGTTCTGCAAGGGTTCCGGGGTTGCTGTGGATACCTCCTGGGTTTGTGTTCTTGCCGGAAACCCAATAAACAATGCAGGGAGGAGGACAGGAGGAAGAGGAGGAAAAAGGGGACCTGCTGGAGATGATTGGACTTGTTTGTGCGGGGAACCCAACACGCAATCTACCAGCATAAAGAAGTAGGAGGTTCAACTTTTTCGGGAGCAACGCCAATAAATGTGCTGGCTTCCGTTCCAGCGGGTGATGACTAACTGGCAGAGTAAACGCTGAAGTACCTTCTTGTTCTCTCACTTGCCGCATTGTCAAAGGAAGCGGGACTTACGCAAAACGGGCCCCGAAAAGACCATCAGATTGAAGGCTTGCTGGGTCATCATGACTTGATTGCTAGATTTCGGCCGAGGGGAACCTTCAAAAGGTCAAAAGATCGATTCGCCGGGGGCAGCCGCGGAATTTGAGGCCCCGGCGTGACTTGGAAGAAACGGCGCTGGCCCAGCAGCAGCTTTTGGGACTCCAGCCACTTGAGCTGCGCCTTTGAGCCCCGGGAAGTGACCCCGTCGGTCTAGTATGGCTGGTGCCCTAATGGGGTTGGCCAATACGCCGGGCAAAGATGGTTGGTGCCCTAAAATTTGGGTTTTTTAGATAGTGCCCGCGGATGTGGCGTGGGACTTTCTTGGGTCTGGCCGCCCTTCGCGGTGCTGCCCGCGCAAAGCGTATGTTATTGGCACCCATCACCACCCCCGCCCCCCACCCCAGAAGCAATTGAGGGGCACCACTCGCCCACCCCTTTTTGGCTACAGCCGCGAAACAGTGGCAGGGGGGACAGCGTTCCCTGCGATGTGTGAAAAAAATATATTAAGTTAGCGGTGCAATTCAATCCCTGTAGCAAATTTAAACAGTGGCGGGGTGGCTGGCGCGGGTGCCCGCCCCCCTCTCCTCCATGATGTTCGAAGAAGTGACGATTCAAATAGGGCTGCGATTAAATCTTGGTGAACGAATCTACAAAGTAGCGGGGTGATGTTCGAAGGAGTGATGATGGTCGAAAAAGTGATGATTCAAATCCTGTGATGGTCGAAGAAGTGATGATTCAAATAGGCGTGCAATTTAATATTGGTGGAAAATCCAAAAAGTAGCAGGGGGGTTGGGGGCGGCGGCAGCCCCCCGTATGATGCTCGAAGGAGTGATGATTCAAAGAGGGGTGCGAGTAAATCTTGGTGAAATAATCTAACAAGCAGCAGGGGGATTGGGGGGGGGGCGGCAGCCCCCTTTTGATGTTCGAAGGAGTGATGATTCAAAGAGGGTGCGATTCAATCTGGGTGAAAAAACTCAAACGTAGCGGGGGGATGTTCGAAGGAGTGATGATTCAAGTAGGGGTGCAACTAAATCTTGGTGGAAATTCTAAAAAGTAGCGGGGAGGGCGGCAGCCCCCCCACAAGAAGGGTGTGGTGGCGTGTCGGTATTGAAAGGGACACCATAAGGACGGTCTTGCTGTTTCGGGTTGTCCAAAGTCTTCTTTTCAGGCAAGCCCGCATAGGGGTGGTGGTGCAAAAGGTGGTGATGGTGGTGGTGGTGGCGGCGGCGGTGGTAGTGGTGGTTGTGTGGTGGTGGTTGTGTGGTAGTGGTTGTGTGGGGGGGGGGAGTGGTGGTGGTGGTGGTGGTGGTGGTGGTAGTGGTGGTGGTGGTGGTGGTGGTGGTGGTGGTGGTGGTGGTGGTGGTGGTGGTGGTGGTGGTGGTGGTGGTGGTGGTGGTTCTGGCGAAGGAAAGGACTGTGGGAGGGGGGGGGGGGGGGAAAGGGGGTGGTGGCAGCAAAGGGGTTGGGGTTAGACAATGCGGGTGGGTCAAGGGTAAGGGTGGGGGAGGGGGGGGGGGTGGTGATGACTAAAAGCAAAGCAACTAGTAAGGGGGGGTGGGAATGGCGACGCCTGACCTCCATGGTGATCACGCCTAAAAAAAGGGAACTCTTGTGTTTTAGGGGTCCCCTAACATGGGCCGCTAAAATGGGATTCTTGAATCAGGGCTTCCATTAAATGCAAAGAGCCCAACAAAAACTGGGTCTGGTTCTCGAAGGAATCGGTCCAAATGCTTCGCCCTAGAACTGCTAGTTGGCTTCCTCCTGGATTCCGTTTAGTCACCAATCAAAAGGGGGCCATTATTTGGGGAACAGCTCAGCCTGTTGGACCATGGCAAACACAGTCAGAACATAGGCCAAAAGCAAATAGAGTCGGCATCAGTCGGTCTTTTGGGGGTTCCCCTGCTTCCAACGTCAAACGCGTCACTGTTGTTTCCTGTTTGAACATCACTACACCTAGAGCAGACTCACTTAAAATTGACCCGCATGGTGACGGTTCAACCACTCAAGAGGAAAAACAAGGAGACCCCTGCCTGAAGTTGACTAAACACAGACTCAACCAAAAAAAAGAAGATAAATTGCCCCTTGTCTGACAATCCCATCTGCTGGTTGCTCATAGACAGGAATCGTCGGAATGCCCTTCCATTAAAGGAACAGTCTTCACAAAGCAAAATTGCACTGAACGAAAGCCATCCGACCCCTACCCATGGCACTCACTCAGAATTGCTCATGCCCTGGCAGCTGATGATATGAATCGCCAAAGCTAGGCGTCTGGCTCGCGTCAGTATAATGCTATCTCAGATGGCAGGAGCGCTTCCGAAAGCAACGAAGCTGCTTTGAAACTACACATCGTATGTGCAAGTTCTGCACACACACACACACACGCGCCGGCCAATTGCGTGCAAGCCACCTTTTCCCGACTGCTTCAAATCCATGAACTTGTCCACAATGACTCCAACACTGAGGTTGATGATGAACATATTGGAGAAGATCATATACACCTCGCAGCGAGGCCATGCATTGTGTTCCAGTGCAAACATCTGCTAGACGTTCATTCATCCAGGTGTCCAGAAAAGCGATGTCTGTGTGTGTGGGGTTCATTGTGTGTCTCCTGCCAGTGACTTGTTCCTCTGACCACCAGCAGTGTACGAGGATACGTTGTGCACAAAAATGCATAGTTCCTCCAAGCCAAGCAGAACTGACTGCCAGTGGTTAGAGGGACAACATGAACCAATGAGTGTGTATGCGGTACGACTCGGCAGCTGGCAACGAAGAAAGGAGCAAATATCCACTCGCTGTTGTCGCGAATCGGCCTCAGCTGCTTCGACAGGTAACGGCCAGTTACTGTTGTCCTTTGAGGGCAAGTCTATGCACCGTCAAACTGCAGCCATTGAAGAGAGACCCGAGAACTGGCGTTGCTAGAGCCTAGGGGGTGTTTGGAGGGTGCCATGAGCTTCTAAGGGGACAGGTTTTGGAGTGTTTGCGAAATCCCGTGACCTTTGTGCAAAGCGGCTGAATGTACTGCTCCACGCTGTCGCAGGCTCCATACATGATATCTGCCCATCCTGGCCACACGACGGACGAACACTGCTTGCTCATCTTCTCATTGCATCATTGTAACATGGAAGTCCTCTGTTCATTTGCTCAATGCCTAAAAGCCAGCCAAATACACAAGCAGTTCATGCCAACACTAGTGGATGTCCCTTTCTTCACGTTTCCAATGACGAAACATAACAAATGCCCACACTAACCCATGGGTGATGAGAAAATGATGCACCCAAAATGCAGGTTTCAAAAGGCCACAGCCCCACCAACACAAAGCTCCACTGGTCACGGGAAACAGGGGGGGAGGGGGCTTTTTGTGGCTGATGTTGAAGGGACACCCCCTCCAAAAAGAAAAACAGAACATGCCCTGGAGGTCTGGGTCTATCTGTCAAATGTGCGTTCCCGTTTGCTTACCAATTAATGATTGGCTTTGAAGTTGAAGGGACACCCTCCATCAAAAATAGGAAAAGGAAATGCCCCACTGGAACATCTGCCGGAAATGCCCCACTCTGGACCCACGCCGAAGCGGCTTCGCCTGGCTTCGCCCGGCCTTCGGTGCTGGACATCTCGAAGAGCGTCAGCATGGATGAGAACACGTTGTCGAAGCTCTGGCCTAAGCAAAGTCCGCATAGCCGCTCGCTACGGAGAGCTTTCGGTACGCGGTAAAGGCCGATGCACAAGCCTGCACATCTATAGGATGTGTGCACTTGTCCAAAACATAAACTCAAAGCATTGATGAAAAAACATAGATATACTTTAGTGTGTAAACGTTGACAAATTCACAGTGAGCCAGTATTGCACTATTACGAATGACGAATTGCTTCAGCGCATATTCGCAACGAGAACAGGTACACAAGAGGCTCCAAAGGCTCCACTTCAAAGCGCTCAAACCCCCATGTCGCTTTTAGTGGCTGAGGCAGCAGCTTAGAGCTTCCTCCCATCCTTGGATTTGCTGACGGTCTGGTGTGTGATGGGGAGCACACACAACTTTGTGGCGAATAATATTGAACCAGCAAAACGCAGGCAGTAAATCGCGTCGTGTTTCAAGTTAATTGAGCTTGCTATGGCTGGTATTGAATGCTTGCTCTGTGTGTGTGTGTGTGCGTCTGTGTGTGTGTCACAAGCACATCACTGAGAGACAGGCTGCCGCCCTGTTCCGCACAAAGCGCCGCATCCTGCACACAGCGACTCGCCAGGAGCATAGCTCGGCAAACAACGTGCGGATTGACCTCCGAATCTGGCGCATGTTTTGTGAATGCGGGTCATAGCTTAGATTGTCCTTCATGAGAGGCTCGCAGTACTGGCTGCACTCGCATGCTGCAGCACATTCTCTGCCTTGCACATTGCCACTCGTCGAGTGCCAACGGCAAAATCTGCATGAGGGTTGATGCGCAAAGCGGTCATCACTGAGTCACTGAGGGTGCGGACGGCAGGATTGGCATGCGCCGGACTGCTCGTCTTCGCAGCTCTCTTTGCCTTGCAACAGGAAATCGTGACCGATGCTACGCTGTTTGGGGTTGGTTTAAACGCTGGAGCCGTCCAGTTTAAGGTTGCGCGACACGTCTCACTGCTTGATTGGATTGGCCAAAACAAGTCTGAACATGTCTGAGCAGTTGTCCCGCCCAAAATGCAAGCTCCACAAAGCCTAAGTGCAAAACAAAACAGCTACAGTACACACACACACATACACACATGGCTGGTTGTGAAACATATGGCCCCTTTTTGGACTCTGGTGCTGTTGTGCCGCATCTCAAAGAGGATACCAAGAAATAGGAGCCCCTGACTTTGACAACGCTCCACGTGGACTCTGTGGTTCGCACGAAAGGCTTTCATTCAGGTCCAAAAACTAAGCGGGCAAAATAAAAGGAGTCGGCGTACTCGTGGCGCCGGCAGGGATTCTGGGGACTGTGCTCTTCTAAGGAGCATTGCAGAAGGTTCCTCAGAAGGGTTCTGGTTCTGAGTAGTGTTTGCCAATACTCCCTTTGTTTTGCCCTAATCAAACCACTGGGGCCCCGGCAGAAAAAGGGGTGCTTCTCGCAATTCGTCTTGCAGCGCAGTTCTTCTTCTGCAGATACGCCCTGCCATGCGCATCCAGCAACTTCTTCATGAATACATGCGTCTTGACTGAAAACCAGTCACCAGTCAGGACCACTTCTCTTTCACACCTACCCGGACTAAGAATAGTGGTTAGATTCTCTGCGCCATCAAACGCTTCCGAAAATTATCGGACTTAGAGGCAGGCACCTCTTGATTTCCCTTCTACCATGCCCTCGTGTAAATTGTGGCTGGCGGCATCTTTCTTTCCCAAAACCGAAAGACAGGCCGCGTCACACGCCCCAAAGGCTCCGCTGATCTCCCATGGGCCACCATGGGGTGAAGGGGCCATGGCTTCCAAGGCATGGAAGCGCATGCCTTAAAACAAACCAGACGATGCCGAGCACCTGTTTCGAAAGGGAAACTATCCTTCCGGTAGTCTGGGTTTGCACCATTCCTGCAGTTCGGAGGTGAATAAATATTGTGTTTCAGCTGCCTCGCGGTCGTTCTCGCAGCGGCAAAAAAGGATGGCCCATGATGTTGAGCAATGCTACTGTGTTGTTTTTACTGTCTTTCATGGAGGCCGTCACCATGGTTGCGACAATCCAGTTCCTACGAAGAGGTGAATCAAACATCAACACTCCTTAGCGAGCACAGGGGGTTGCCATGGGTTACCCCCCATTTTTGACACTACAGGGGCCTGAAAGAATCAGAAAGGCCACATATGTCTTAGGACCCCGAAACAAACAGTAATACCAATGAAGCCAACAGCAAGGTTCCCAAGAAAAGAACACCTTCACGGGCGAGGTCGTCTTGCGGAACGCCAAGCTGAAGGCCACTTTTCAGCCGCGAGGCCCTCACAGAAGGCTTAGTGGTTCGTTGGTAGCTAGTGAGATACGCCAAAACATCCCGTAGTGGTTGAGGGAGGACACCCTTTACAGGAAAGCATGTGACGCCTTTGGCCGCCTGCTCCAAGCATTGTTTCCCTTGTATCCACAAGGGGCCTATTCTGGAACCAAGGTAAGTAGAAGACCACGGAGACAAGCTCCAAGCAGCTAAGTTCCAAGACGTCGCCTCAGCTTTCAAGCCACCCGGAGCCCGCCCTTAGCGAGCCTCGGGGCAGAAGGCCTGCAAGGGACTCCAAGGGACAGGTCTCTTTCTCTCTCTCTCTCACTCTTAAACACATGCCTACTAAAAAAAACAACGGCAGTTGTCCAGCTCATTGAATGATAGTCTCAGCTCATTTTGCTCATTGACCTCGTTGTCCAATGCCACATGCATTTGGGAGGGGCGTGGGTCCTAACTTGTTTGCACCTAGTTCAGTATGCTACCCAAAACATGCTTCCGCCCGGCCTTTTCTGCAGTCTTCTGTAAATAAAGGCCGTCGCTCACACGTAAGAAGTAAAAGTCTGTGCGTTTGATTTATTGATGACGCGCCAACACAGCTGAACGTGGTTTTGATCAGTCAACTCAGCAAGAAGCTGGCGTTGGCTGACCGAGTGCATGAGTGACAAACACACAACTGGGAGAGGGGGCAGTCGTGACGGGCTGGAAGCCTGCTGTTGTTTATCTTTCACATCTTGGTGCTTGACACAGTTATTGATGCCTCTGTTCATGCATTTATGTTCTTTTTCAGGTTCTGTAAGTGGGACATGCTTGGGGGACCTCGCTCACTCCTCCACTGTTACTTCGTTGCGAAGATTTTGCTTCATGGCAAACTTGCCAGCTTCTAATATGTGCCTCATACAACAGCTTTCGAAGAAACGTACTAACTTTTCAAGGTACCCTGAGATATGCCTCTGAGATATGCCTCTAAGGTCTGCAACTGCACGGGGGACCAGCCTGCACGTTGGAGGACCATGAAGGCTAATGACATAAGGCCACCCACGTAAAAAAGGAGTCTGATGGAACGTGAAAAGACCTGGGCGTGTCTTTTTGCAAGGGTCGCTGTTTAGGCTTCAAGGGAATCCACCCATTTTGAGGGCTCCCCTGTTTGGAGACAACCGGTACTCTGCCAGTGGGAGGCTCAACTGCGGTGTGCGAAGCCTGCCTCTCTGCAGCTGAGTCCAGCAGACACAATCACGCCGCTTGCATTGACCTTGTGCGGATGCAGCTGCCTCCAGGATCTACCTACTGCCCAACAAACAGGTTTGACTTGTTGGGAACCTCACCCACCAGTTGTCCATTGATCTCCCTGAAAGGATGCCACCAAAGAAGGCATAGCCAGAACCGCCTAAAAGCCACCGGGGAGAATCGGATGCTTCGGCCCCCGCAAGATCTGCAAAAGTGCCCACGATTTGAAGGGGAATATTGATCTCTCCCGAATGAAACGGGGGTGCTAAAGACTCTGAATTTCAATGTAGGTTCGATAGCAAATGCACATGCGTTGATTATTTAATGCCGACGGCATTAGGCTCAGATAGGACCACAAGAAGCTGTACTCGTAGGTATCCCCCAGGTTAAGCAGCTCGTTTGCTGGCTAGGGCGTTATGCAAACCTGTCGGTTCACGGCGGGGAGATCAAACCAGGCCAATGGTCCAGCTATTTACAACGGTTAAACTCTGCAAGAGGTGGCATTTTCAACCATCGCATTCGGTCAAACAATGGGCCAACATTGTGTTTGACTTTCTTTTGATTTCCCTTTCAACCACCCCAACAATGGCACCCTCCAAAAAACACATACGCAAATGGGCGTCTCGTTTCTTGAGGGCATTTCTCCTTTATCCTTCTTGGTGGCTTTAAAACCAAAAGGAGAACAAGCAATGTGGGCGTCCCTAAAGAATGACCGTCCCAAATGACTCGTGAGCCCCAGGCAGTGGTGCCGCCACAGGGGATCACCAGCATGCGCGACATGGCCTGACAGCCAGCTGAAGGACACCCACCGGAAGCATGTTTTGTAAAAGATGGTGTCTTCTTGCGGAAACAAGCAATCTTGACCATGGCTCATGAGGGGAAACATAATGAACACTCCAAAAAACAAAGGGATGGTGCTGCTTGAAAACCGGTTGAGACATCTGCCAGTGTCGGACGTTACCTTGAAACACCAAGTGGCTTATGATCTAGGGTCAATGAGGCAAGTATATGTGGTTTTCTCAACATGAAGCATGCCCCCGAGTTTTTCACCCCCAAACTCATGTAGGGGAACCTCTCAAAATAGTTGTCAGTTGTCACCCTTTGGGTTTCCCTTGCAAAGAGCTCTCTAAAAAGGGAGGTCCCGTGCTTTTGGACGCCATTCTGAGACATACACCTTTTACAAGCATATTTCAGAGACACTCCACTTAAGTTGGCCCAAAGGGTCATGTCCAACACCACCCAAGGGGGGAAACACCGGGCTTCTCCCTTTCCGAGCCCAGGCCGTACGCGTCTTCTCCGCTTCCGATTCGACGCGGCCTGCATGTACTGCCGTCCCCGCAGCTCTGCCGCGGTGATGTTGGCCAGGTACTCCGCGCTGTCGCGGCCGTCGCAGACCTGGGGACTCCCAGGCATGGCAAATCCACGCGGCCAGAAACGCGCGCGTTTGGGGTACGTGTGGTTGAGGGTATTTTGCGAAATGGGGCCACTGAAAAGTAGAGCAATGGAAGTTGGCCGGTTTCTGTTGGGTTTGAAGAGAAACTAGCAGCTACAACCGCACTAGAAAGGGAGCTCTAAAAAAGAAGACAACAAAATCTGGGTCAATTGCAATTCTCTAACACTAAATTTGGAAAGGAAGCTTCACCAGTGACGTGGCAAACCTTCGGCGGGTGAGGTCGCGTTTTCATTCGTCCAAATGGAATCCCAGGGGGGAACACAGTATATAGCCATACAGTGGGCAACCAGTATGGAGATGAGGAGATGTTGTATGACATGCTTTGTGAAGCAGTGAAGTTTGGCAAAGGCAAGGTCAGCCAGAAACTGGCAAGGCCATGTAAGCCAAGGAAGGTATAGGGAACTATGCCATGCCTTGTGTGTCAAAAAAAAACATGATGTGAAACATGGTAACTGGTAGCCTTGTCTCCGTGCTCTTGCGGCCAACCAAAAACTTTCTCAGACCAACGACTGCCCTTGCGCCGGCTCGGAACCCGAGCCGAAGGGAGCTCCGCTGCCGAGGTCAGCGGCCTCAAGCCATGGGTGCCATGGGGAAAGCGCCCCGCTGGTTGGATGGGCTCGGACAAGGGGGAAACCAAGAGGACAGCCATTTGTTGGGAGTCCCTTTTTGGAAAGACCCATCAACCATGGAACCCCTGAAAGTGAAATCTTGCAGGTACATGCTTGGGTTGTCTAAAAAGGAAATCAAAGGTAAACCGAGCCTTTTAGGGGTTCTCCGTTTGGAGACAAAACCACACGACGCGACGTGTGAAAACAATTCAACACCCCAATGGTTTCAGTCTCCTTTAGCTTTGCATTCGCATCCCCTTAACATCTTGGCAACACAGGGAGTGAATACCCCACAGAACTAATAAGGAAAAAGTTCGCCACTGAAGAACTGGAAACAGCTGGCCGTCTGTCATGGCTCATCTTGATCTTGGGCAGGTGCGGCAGGTACGGCAGGTGTCAAATAACAAATCGAACTCTATACTTCTTGAGCTATGTCGGGACGGTTTTCAGGGAACAGGCACCTCAAACACCTACCGTCGTAAGCCTCTTGCAAGCATGAGTAAGCTAGGGTACCCTGTGCGGAGCTATGAATGGCTTGTAAGCGGGGGTACCCACCTGGGCATCCGAATATCTGGCCTTGGACAAAGCCATTCCGGAGGCCCATCAGGGTCATCCTGGCGCATTCGACATGCTATCTGCACATGGCCGACGCTGTGTGATCCAAACATTGCCAACGCTTGTGATCCACACTGTCGTCTTGGTTTTCTTCGAACACTAACTTGAAGCAGGGCCTCCCAAACGTGCCCCAAACCCCTTTGGTGAAGAGGTTCTACTGCCGAATTCTGAGAGGCAAAACATATTACCTTTGCCAACCATCTTGACGGAACCGGACCAGGTTTCGGCCATTGGTCCCCGTGGATTCGACGGATTCGAGAGTAGAAAAGCTGAAGTTGACCCAAAAACCTCTCAAACACGCCGGCGATGCTGGTAGCTTCGTCGGGTCACAGCGACCAACGCAAATCGGTGTGTCAACCTCAGCACGAGGAGACGGAATGCGTAACTCCCACAACGAGCTTAAAATAGCAGCGCCAATACTAACAACCCTTGGACAGCCAAGCCGCTAATCAAGGGGGTCACATGCTGCAATGATTCCCTAAAGGGTTCTCTTGACATGTTTGCAAAAGTTTCCGGCTTCCATGTGTTCAGGGCAGAAGAGAAACCGAGTGACTGCCACCTCATAGGCAAATAATAAGGGAAATGACCTGTCTGCGTCAACCACATAATCTTGGATAGATATGGTGGAATATCACACTATTGCAGGTGAACCAGCAAATCCACCTCACACGTTGGTAGCTTGCGATAAGTTGGAGGCTAAAATCCCTTTTTAACAAAGTAGACGTGGAGTGGTGGGTTCCCTATTCCTAGCATTTTGGGCCTCATGGATGAAGCCTGAAGCACTGCCAAACGAATGAGCCAATTGACCGCAACCGTTTGGTCATAATATAAGGCTCTACCTCGGGCTCACTGCGTATAACCCCCAAGGGCCAAAGGGAGTAGCACCTATTGCACCGTCAGCAGAACATCTAGTGCTTGGAACCCAGCTTGCCCAATTGTTAGATAGTAGATACTGGCCGTTGATCATAATTTGCTCCCTGAAAGCCTGGAGACCTGGAAGGCGCCCCGAGGGATGGGACCCATCCTATCCTGAGCTTGCGGCCGATGCTCTGGCCCAGGCGCTCGAATTGCTAGGGCCTCGAGCTAAATGCAAGCCACTGGCGCCAAACGCCCTGAACATCGATGCTCATCGTGTTCCTCGTTCAAGTTTTAGCAGAAACCCAAGATGCAACAGAACCTGCCTTTCCCCGACCAGAGTCCAATTTTCGGGAACACCCAGCAAAGACACCCTACAGGAACATTGTTGCCAAGGGGAACACAATCAAAATGCAAGTCAAGGCTTCTTAGAAGCGGCTTCATGGCTCAAACCCCCAAAAAGCAAACCGATTCGCTATCGTTCATGGATTGTGTTGACCTGTTTGAGTCTTTTTAAGCCCTGGATCTTGCACTTGCTGGCCCCGGTCTTCTGGATGTTGTGTAACCCAGCCAATCACAGTGTTTTTCCCTTTCAGCCCCCCCGTTTTTTGATGACGTGTGCTGTATGTCTGTATGTCCCAGTCTGATCTGTGGCAGTGCCAGGCGTTGGGACAACTCAGCGTCTGTCACCTCCCCTTGAAACCCCATCCCAAACAAGGAAAGGCAATCAACAGTTGATGTCCTCTGCATTTTGCTTGGTTTCTCTTACCGCAAGCAGCATTAGAAAATCAACTTGACATACCCATCAACAGTGGGATGTCATGATCTGCAATTTCCGCAATACATTGCCTGATGTGGATAAAAGGATCCTTCATCATGGGTCAGGTGGTCGCCCCCCAAAATCGGGCGCCTATTTTCCCAGAAAGTCGTGCCAATCGAATCGTCAGTCTCGGTGAGGGCGCGGCAGTTCGCACAGCCGTCCTCTTGCCACACCTCGTTCTTTGCGAGCAGAGCTTTGACGCATTCGCTTTCAAAAACCAAACCGACGTGAAATCAAGCCTTTCAAAGGGTTTGAGTCAGTGTGTCACGTTAGAGGGTGGGTCTGTACGCGGTCTTGACACGGGGGGGGGGGGAAGGTTGACAGGGAACAAGCATGAATTGCCAATTGTGTAATCATTTGGAGGGTCGTATCCGCAAAGGCCAAATTCAAAGCTCTACTCTAACTTGCCCAAACAAACCACTGTTGCAGAAAGGAACGTCTCCGGACCTCCCTTTTTGCTTGTCTTAACGGCGAACCCCCCCCCCGCCCCCGCAAACCTTGGTCTCCCAAGCGCAGTTGCCAACTCGACTGCTGTGAGAATAACATTGGCCGGACCGCTGTTTTGCAACTTTGAAGCTGGCTGTAGCCGAAGAACTCATCATGAGCATGGGAAGGCTTCTTCAAGCAACAGCCAGCCATTAATATGGAGTTCCTTTGAACAAACCAAACCTCGGCGCAAACCCTAGAACAAAACTCTTGGAGAGAATCAAGCTTGTCGGAACCCTCTTGCAAATACCTTTAACAAGTGTCTTGAACCAATGTACAAAGCAATATGCTTGACTTGGTCTTTGCATACCCTTTACCCAGGATTCGAGTCCCATGTTTGTACAGGGCCGAAATCAAGATGCTAAACATTGATCCAAAGGGAACTCCCCGTTTTCCCCTACGCACCGGTTCTGGGCGCAGCACCGAGCTGTTCTCATAGCGCCCGTTCAGGCAGGAGCCGAGGAGCATGCCCTCGTTCCCACTGCCTGGGACTGGCCGAGAATCAAAGGTTAAAGGAAAATCTACAGGACATGGCCCCAAAACACCCTAAATAAGCTTTCCTGCAGAATGTCTTAACCCAACCCTTTGAGACAAGGAGCTCAGCCAAATGCTGAAAATCAACACACGTCAAGGGATTGTTTGTCTTCTTCCATGACACAAACGAATGTACTTACCGGGAGTTCCAGGTATATAATTGCTTATGCCAGGCGTTCGAATACAAACTGGGCATTGGGAGCTGTCGTATCAACTGGTCAGGGATCGCCAAAACAAACCCTTCCAACACATGGCATGCATGGCGTCGGATGTAGGCGTGTGGTCCTTTGTGTTCTGGATATAAAATCTCGCTCATTGTCACTCGTGAGCCTATAGGATTCAGATCCAGACAGATCAGGAAAGTGCAGCTCTCTGAACCTTTGATGGTACTTTGTGGTGGGCCTACTCAACGTTTCCAGGAATTTTCCGGCAAAGCGACCTTAGAGGTACCAAACCTGTCACCGCTTCTCCGCTTGGATGGGGAGTAGGGCCAGCGCCCAGGCACAAAGGTGTGCGCAAATCGGGGAGATCCCGGAGCCTCAGAAACGGAGCAATTCTAACGCGTAACATCCAGTTCACTGGGGCCACCTAATTTCTCAAGGAGAAAAAACCTTAAATTGGGGAATCCACAAAAGAAGCGTGGACTGGAGAAAAGCGCAGATGGCCAGGCCCAGATCTTTCTCTGAAGAATGATCAACGTAGATTGGGGTTTTGAGAAAAAAAGGCAACGGACTACAAAACAACTTGTCGACACATTCCATTGGGTTGCAACCAAGAACCAACACAGGTCTATGATAAACCATAAGAAGTCGCTCAGGACATTGCGCCTGCCTGCCTCAGATGGAATATTTTGCACTAAAACGGAATGATCACACAATGCTGGGCCGAACCTGATGGCTGACTGTGTTTTGCTGCTGAATCTCGTTGATCATCTCAGCTCACTAATATCTCATGAGTTCAGCACAGCATTCTGCAGGCAGCACTGCCCCGCTTTGAAGGACTGGAACATGAGAGAACGGTACGGCGAAACATATCGAAATAAGCGCGAAACTGAAAAATACATATACATGGGATATATATATATATATATATATATGTGAATCCGGGATCGGTACACGTCTAAGCTCAAACAAAAGCTCCAATGTTTATCCTAGCTCAGTCCAAAGTCAACGGTTGGATCCCCCCTCTGTGGTAGTCCAAGTCCAAGCCATGCCAAACAGTTCCTCCAAAATTGACCGAAGACAAAGGGACTGAAGTGATAACGGTTTGAGAGGAGTTCGTGCTATGTTGCTGCATTCAGTGGCCTTGGCCTGCGGCATGCATAATCACTTGACCAGTACACACCCCCTGAAAAGGTTAACAACATGTTTGCTGGTAAACCAAACAGGCAAACGTCAAAACGGTCAGCTTGATCGCTCCTTCTGGAAATTTGTTCATGGAACATGGGCTCAGGTGTCACACCAGTTAAAGGCAGAACCTCCGGGAAAAGGGGCGGCATTTTGCGGACAGAGGCGGAAAAGTCTGGAACATTGGCACAAGCTACGAAAAGCACCCAGAAAGGCTATCAAAGGGAGTGACAAGCGAGCAACCAGGCCCACAAGCAACAACATGGCGAGTCAACGCACTATACCAACAAAAAGGGGGTGCATGGTCAAGAAAAATGGCGCGAGGGCATTGTATCCGTTTTGCGGCCATTGCAAATGCACGTTGTTCGTGCCCAACTGAGCCACCGCATTTTTCTCTGCGTTCGGTAAGTTATTATTCAGTCTATATGGACATGGGCCGGCAAGCCGAAGCAACTTAGTTAGGCACCTCCCGCAAAGTCCACCAATAGTTTCAGAGTTTATGGGGAGGAACTTGGAAGAATGACCCATACTTGCGAAGCACGTTGCGAACAGCAACGCCCCGATTCCAATCAATAGCTTCGGAAGTTTTGGCCAAATTGCCTATGCCTCAGGCTGTGATTTTTGCTTATTGTTTTTTTTCGGGGCTTAATTCTTGCCCCGGACGAACTCCGAACGAACTCCGAACGAACTTTGGCCTTAAGTTTTTGTTTGCTAGCTTATCTTTTTTTCGGTGTTGAACTTTTTGGGTTTTGGTCGTACAAAAACACTGGAATTACAGCTTGTTGATGCGTTTTTCGTACAAATTTAGTGTTACCAGGGCAAAAAAAACATTGACACATGCTTAATCCAGGCTTTTCATGCAAGAAAACAGCTATTTCATACGACCAAAATCGGGCAAGCCATTACACAAATCGGGCAAACCCTTAAGTTCAACACCGGTGTTGAACTTAAGCTCTCTTTTTTGGAATAAGATTTTTTCCCGGATTAAGCCTTGATCAAAAGGATTAAGCTTTGTTTCAGCTTCAATAGCGAGCCTCAGCGTCAACCAAGCTGCGTGATCACCCCGGTAGCGATTTTAGCCCTCCGCAGCTCTGAAGTCCTACAAATCCGGCCCTGAACGCCTTCCCAGGCCACTTGTTGAAACTGGCCCCTGTAATCACTTGGCCTCTTTTGGTAAGCCAGAAAAAAGGCAACAAAAACAGTTTGACCGCCAAAATACTTAGGATCAAAAACATGCTTATGGCCAAAGTGTGTTCGGAGTTGGCTCGGGGGTTTGTTCGGAAATCAACCAATGACAAAGCTTGCTCGGAGCTTGTTCGCTTGTTCGGAGTTTGTTCCGAGCTCGCCCGGAGTTCGTTCGGAGTTCGTTCGGAGTTTGTCCGGAGTTTGCTCGGAGTTTGTTCGGAGTTCATTCGGAGTTCGTTCGGAGTTCGGAGTTCGCTTGGAGTTTGTTCGGAGTTTGTTCGGAGTTGGTTCACGAGGAACCTGGGGCCTCTGAGAAACGCCTACCAAGAAGAACACGTTCTGCTCCGTATTATGTAGTGTGTGGCCAGAACCCAAAAAATGTGCCCATGCAGGATTTGTTGCAGATCGCTGCTTTCTTTGTGAAAACTCGCAATTGCCGCAAACGCAAGCCCAATCTGCCAAAATACGAGCAGAATTTGGGCTCCAACACAACGCATTTTGCTGCGTACAGAAGAGGCAAGTTATTCCCGAAAACAGTTCAAGCCCTTTCCTCTTGGCGGCCAAGACTCATTTCTGTTTAGATGACCCCAAACCCCTTTCAGCAGGAGCGTCAAGCTGTCTTACCCCTAAGGCTTAGCGCGCAGAAACGGCGCGGTCCCCTGGGAAGCAAGCAAATTGATTCTTGATTCGAGGAAACTGGCATCAATAGTACACTTTGAGATTTGCTTCAAAATCTGGGCTTTTCTTTTTTTGGTTTTGGCAACCCTTAAGTTTGAGTAAAAAACCCTTATTCTTTCTTAGCACCTTAAAACACCCAAATCCCGAACGAACTGACCTGACCCATGAAATTTGGCAGACAAGAGACGTCGTTGTGTTGTTTCGTGTGTCAAGGAGTGCTGGCGGGCACGCACGGCGCAGCAACAAGCGTCGCCATGTGCTACACATGGCAGTCCACATCCCACTTTGCGAAACCCTGGGTTTCCCGGCCAAACTCCGGTCTCGATGTTGCAACTGTACATCCTGTTGGAATGTGTCACAGGCGTGAGACTAAACTACTCTTCCTGGGTTCAAAACCCCGTTTCATGTCAAGGGTGCAACAAATAGAGAGTTCTGAGATAACTTCCCCTGAGATCCCTTCCAAAAGACCGAAGCAAATATCAGGACAGGCCACTCTCTCGTCAGTTTCCCTATGGAGAACGGAGTAAAGGATCCATGATGCGGCCCTCAAATTTGTCGCGAGGCCCTCAAGTCTCCAAGTTCGCAAGTCCCCTGAATAGGACATAACAAGGGCTGCCAGCCTACTAAGGTGCCCTGGCCTTTTACGTGCTCATTTGCTCTGACAAACAGCCAGACAGCTTCTCGCTTCTCTCGATGGCCGGTCCTTCCAGATAGGAAGTTGGAAGCGAAAAGGGCGAAAATCAGGAGGAAGAGCAGTGCCACGACCTGCGAATGGCTATACGCCCACGGACACCTGAAGACTTGTCAAGCCTTGGGTCTGCTATGGGACCCTTTTGGGGGGGTTCCGCCATTTTGGCGGCCCTTGACAACCGAAGAAGGTTCAACGGGAGTTCCCCCAAGCATGTTTCCATAGGCCCAACTCACCCAACAACAAACAAATGAACACACAAATAAGCTCGTTCCTAGATGCCGATGGCCAGATTGCAAGAATCGTCCTTGTGTCCCTGTGGTCGATTAAGAAAAAACATATAACTCGATTGAATATTCCTCCACAAAACAGGAACAAATATGTGACGCCCCGCAAATTTTGCCCCGAAACAATAGTGCACTTTCCGGATTGATATCCCACTGAGCAAATTGGCCGGAGGTGGACCAGGGTTGGCTTTGTTCAAGCATGCTTGAAAGAAGCTGTTTAAACCGCCCCTTTTGGTCTCCTACAAAAGGGGACCAACTGTTTCAACACGTTTTCCCCAACATTGAGGCGGATGGTCCCGACTCGTCACAGCGCGCCATGAGGCTGAGCAGGTCTTGCAGCGAGGAAAAAATGGTCTGAGCCTCCGCGCGCGCGAAGTGGAAATCTCAACCCCACCTCTCTTGAAAACCCCAGAAACAGTCAAAACCGAAACATAAACCAAGGGACATTTGGGAAATTGGAGCGACCCCTTCTTTTCAGGCAAGCCCATCTCCATTTATTACTGTGCCAGACTCTGGCAGGGCTGGCATCTGAGTGATATCGCATCAGACTCAACGGCTCATTGCTCTGCCGAGTACACAAAATGCTCATTCTGGAGGTGCCATGCTTGTGCCACTCCGTAGCTCTGCATTGCATGGGGTTGTGCCTTAAATTGGTGTCTTGTTGGTGGCCGTGTTGGTTTCACCAAAAAGGGGCACCCGAAAACCGACACCCGTGCGTATGTGGCATACAAAAAAGCAAGCGCGCTAGGGCTAGCGCAACAACCCGCAGATTCTGATTCCTGGGCGCGGCGTCACACTGCACTCAACTCCCAGCTGGACATAGAGAGCCATGTTCTAGCATAAGTTAGGAGGGCTAATTGGGTTGTGGCTCGCGGTCATGAACCAAGATCAGGTCTGTGTGGGGGACCTGTATGGTTCTCTCATCAAAATGTTAATCTAATAAATGCGCCTGTCTTATGCATCTCCTTTGGCCCATGTCTTGGGTCAGTGGCAGGCAAGTGTCATGTACCTAAGGGGCTGCTAGACACAAACTCAAACACAAGCAAATCCATTTTGGATGTCCCTAACGGCCCCCTAAAAGACACGCCAAACAACTTGGGCAGACTTCACCCAGAAGGTTGACTTGCCGGCAGGTCGGTGGAGCGGGAAGAAAGCCTACTGACCGAGGTCAAAAGGTTCCCAGGGCGCGCGCGGAGCGCCAAAGTTTGGGCCAGATATTATGTAGATAGGGGACCCTATATTGCATATTGTGGAATCCAGAAAAATCAAGGTTCCCGAAATTGCTTCTGGATTGCTCTGCCATCTCTTCCTTATAGGCACAATTCCCGTTGCAGGCTCCCGCAAGCTGGCTGTTGCTCAAAATCTGTGGTTTTCCTTTGATTGATCAAGGATTCTGGTGGCACCTTCATGTCGGCTCATTTGTGTGCCGTGTTGCCTTTCTTTGTTCGGTTCTTCATCCCCCCTCGTTCCTGCCTCAGAGTCTCCTTCAATGATAGTGAGAGAGGGGTAGAAAAGATGGAGTGAAATTGTAATGGCCTATCCTTTCACTCCTTGACTGGTTTATTAGTGTACCAAAGACATTGAATGACCAAGTCAAGGCAGGAAGCTCATTAATAATATAGGTTGTCTTGTTTCCTATTGCAGCGAATGCCGAAGAGAAGGACAAAATGGAGATTTCCTCATCTCCATGCGATACTTACAATCCCAAGAGGGGACCCCATTTTTTTTGAGAAACGCCCGGTGACCTCTGGCAATGACTTAGCTATGACTCGCCCCACCGTGCCGAGGACGGCGCCGCGAGATGATGCGAAGAGGCCGGAAGGCGCGGAGGATGCGCACTGTCTTGAGGAATCCGGCACCGCTGCCTGCGCAACTTGGAGGTCGGATTCTTAAGCTGTCATAGAAACCAGCTACCCGGACCCTCCAAAATGGCTATTGCCCCAACATGTTGGGGTGAATTCCCCTATTTGTCGGTAGTTTGAGGGTCCAGCTATATTGATGATCTACAGAAAGTTAGCCGAATACCCAGCCAAACAGATGTTCAAGCTAAGTTCCAAGGGTTGATTGCCCGTTCACTCTTTTCAGAAACTACACATTTCTTTCTGGGCTTCGATTATAGAATGATCCCTGAACGGAATGGGGAGGGTACAGATGGAGAAATTGGCTGAAACTGTGGCTATAAGCTGACTGCCCTTCGTCATCCCAATCATAATGCATGGTTTGAAGCCACTCACCAAGAAGCTCGGATATCCAAGAAGCGACCTCTGGGGCGTACGGTCAACTCGAGCCCAAAGGGGTCAATGTTCTCTCACTATCCTTGGGTTAAGATGGAAATCCAAAAAAGGTCGCACCCTCTGTTCAAAACAAACAAAGCAATCCTCGAGAGCTTCAACTGGCTTCCTCATTTACCGGACACGTTGAACTTGCTCAATTGTCAAAGCAAATATCAGCAACATACATAATGGTCTTGCTTCACCTGTATATCCATAACATGTCCTTGATGCGATCCTTTCTCCCCCTGCCTCTGTCATTCTCCTGATTTGCCCCACTCTCCTTACCCGAACAGGCCAATCATGACCCTTGCCTGCATACGAGATTTGAAAAAATGGAATCCAATTGGGCCAAATCGAACTGACGTATGCTTTGCATTTCAGTTGACAAATGATCAAACAAGCAGTTGGTGCTTGGGTAGCATCTCTCGATTTTACAAACCACCAAAAGGCGGACAACAAAAATACATCTCGTTTTGGAACCACGACTCGTATCACGTATCTGCAAATAACCTTTTCTGCTTTTTGAGGTTGGCTTAAAATGGAAACACAAGGGAGACCACCATTGTTTATAGATGGGGGTCCCTGCAGTTGAACCTGAAGGTGATCATTAAGCGACTGGAGAATCCCTGCAGCCTTGCCTTCAACGGACAGGTCCAGGATCGTAAACATCACCTCGCTGCTCACCGCCGATCAACCGGAGCTATTCCCTGCTCCCCCGCAACATGGAAGACGATCATCTCAAAATGGCTCTCCACTTCCATTGTTAGAAAGAGGGTATGGCAAGACTCCTCTTCAAAACAATCACGTTGTTCAAGGAGTTCCATGTTGATGACGGAAACCGCGTCTTTGAAGCGGTTGAGAGTTGGGCCACAGCAGGGGGGGGGGGGGGAGCCGGGCGCGGGGGGTCGGCTGCCCGGCCTGATTTGCAGAATTTTGCGTCCAAAAAAGACAGCTAAACTTTGGGTGTCTTTTCCATCTGTCCGGGAATTGCTCACTCGCTGCATTGTTGCGCAAACACTTGCGTTTTACCATGCGTTTGCGAGGTGTTTTGCGTGCCTTTTTTGAACAAAAAGACGGCTTGCTTGCTTACTGCTTGCGTGGTTCGCGCTTGGACCTGCCTCGGGGATGCTGGGGATGCTGGGGGTGCTGGCGGCTCAGCAAGTATGCGGGATGCTGGTGATGCCGGGGATGCTGGGGATGCTGGTGCTTGGGTGTCTTGCGTTCCCTTTTTTTCGTGTGAGCAAGTTTTGTTTGCGTTTTGGCTTCAAAAAAGACGCCTAAAATTTAGGCGTCTTTTTTGGATGCTTTTAGCGCTCGGCGTTCACTGGCTATCGCTTTCGGCCTGCGGGCGCTCGCTTCTTCAGTAGGTAACGACAGACACAAACGCAGATCAGAAGAGAAAAAAGGGCCGGGCGGTCCGATACTGGTTGCTCGCACATGTCCACCAAAAAAGACGCCTATTTTTGGCCGTTCTTTTTCCCCTCAATTCAGACTTGCGCCAATGGGGACTCGGCAGGACCGGGACGGAGGGAGTGCGCTTTCCTGTGTTTGCCGACCTAGTTTGCAGAAGGATAAACAGCTCAAGGAAACAGTTCAATGGCAAGCTCCCTCAAGTAGCCTGAAATCTCGGCCTCGTAAAAGCAACAGAGGCCTGTTTTATTTGTTGTTTTCCATTGTGTTCGTCCGACCATCATCAAGCAGCAACGTTTTGCCGTGTTGTTGCTGAGAGGTACTTTGACACACTCGCAGTTCGACATAGGCTCCCCTGTGCAGTGGTTTGCAATGGGTATGGTGCGTCTTCCCTGTGTGCGGCATCTCATTTGCCAAGCCTGACTTGACTTGTGATAATCAAATCGCTTGTTTTTCCGTGGAAACATACGGCTCTGTGTCAAATGTAGGAGGCGTTGTTTGGTGGCTGTCAAAAGGACACCAGGAAATGAAACTTCCATTATGGAGAGATGCGGATTTCGAACCCTCAGCCGCATAGTAAACCAAACAAAGCAACAAAAGCCAAGAAAATGCCAACTGAGCTTGCTGATAGCTCCACAAAGGAAGATGAAGAAACTGCGGTAAAAGAGAGGCTCGGCACATTTTTTGGGGGTGTCTGTTAATTCTTGCAGCAAAACAGGGGGAGTGCAAAATGACTAAGACCAAACCCTAGCTACCAAAGCTTCCAAGAGCACTCTGCAGGCGAGTCGCGACAATGCCGTCCAGCACATTCCAGCCGTCTTTGAGGTAGGCGTTTTCACTCCAAATCTGCGGACGGGTATGGAGTGCAATGTGGAGGCTTCCGGAATGGGACCCTATCGCTATTGGCTCTACATGGACACTTGAGGCAAACAAAACAAGAGCGACTATTGGGGCTTGTGTCGCCCATCACGATCCTTCCTACAAAGCATGACACTCAAACCATAATAAACCATCACGCTTTCCTAAAGTGGCCACCTTGTAGGGCTTGCCGACTTTACCAGTCTTCCCTCAAAGAAAATATCAAGGCACGTGCCAATCCGGGGGCCATGCCAAGCCATAGGCAACCAGCTTGAAGACCATCTCACTGGCGAAAAGCACAGCGAACCTGGGCCGGAAGCCATGACGAGCCGCCTCATAATTGGGGTCGTCCATATCCTCCCCCTCTAATAACGTCAGTAGGATTCGTAGACGCTCCTCCCCTCAAAAAACCGGTCAGTAGACTATTCGATGAGACTGTGAATGACTCTTCTGGGTTGGCCAATTGTGCCATGGTGAAACTACTCCTTCAAATCCCTGGCAGCGGGTGCAGATCCACGTGCTCCTTTTGGTCTTGGGCTGTGGCACCTGGTCTCCTCTTCGGATCACCTGATCAAATCTGCGCTCGGCTTTGGTACCCTCACCCCACCTATTAACATGGAACCTGACAGAGGGTCCCCTTTCAAAAAAAAACAGTCTTCCAGGACCCCCCCCCCCCAAATGCTAGTCTCCAACATGGGACAAAACGGGCTTCCTAGTCCCAAACGAGCAGTCTAAAGGCTCGCACAACCGGATTCCTTTTATTCGCTGTTCAGGGGCAACAGGACACAGAGATCCACTGTGCACAGCAAAACCTTCCTGTGAATTCTCGGGAATCCGCCGAACGCTCCAGTGTCCTTTTTGGGGAACGGCTCTTATTACAGGGCTTGCAGAAACTGAACAACTGCCTATCCCTAATGGGTTTCGCTTGGGACTTGCCCAGTCACGACTTGCCACAAAGCAGCACCCAAAGGCTGATTCGCGGCCGCTGAAGGGATGCGCAAATTTACATCGAGGGATTGATGAAGCGGCACCCTCACTCCAAAACGATTTTGGAGCTCCCAAAATGCTCACTGAATCCATCAAATGGGTGTGGATCTTTCTGAACACTGGTGGCAAAACAGAGCTGGGCAAAATCTGCTGTGGTTCAATTCGTATGTGGAACTCTGATTTAAGTGCTTTAGTTGCTTGACGGGGTAACCGTAGGAGGCATCTGATTTCAATTCCTTCGCTCCGGGTTCGATTGCTAGTCCCTACAGATCCCATCGTTGGACATAAAAATGCAGCGGAACAGGGCCGCGTTCTCAACTCCAGGGGATCTCAGTTCAAAGGGCTACAGTCAGAATCAGATAGTTCAAATGGGTCACTTGCGTTACATCTTATGTGATTCAACATGTGACGCCATGGTCCTTTCCCACTCGGGCTCTGGTGTCCCCTTGCTTTCCTACAGCAACTCCCAACATACCCCCAATCCTGCCTTTCAGACAGGCCCCAATGCGTCAAAGGGAAACAAACAGGCGGGTGGCTTTACTTTTGGTGTACCTTTAAACCGCCGACAAAAGGGTGTATCCTCAAACATACACCTCCCCTTGAACCACCCCACTTTCTGCTGCACGCAGCACGGAAATGGAGCGCCTGGGTGAGTGTCACGCTGGGGTCTGCCAAGGGGGAGTCGATCGCCTTGGCGAAGGGCTGGGCACGGATCCGCCATACGGATCCATCAAAGGTGAGGTCTTGGGAATGAAGAGGATTCTCACGGGCAGCCGTATGTATTAGTTCATCAGTCAAGTGAACAACAGCACCGAAATATATTTTCCGTCCCTAAGGAAAGGCGAAGCCCTCGGACACCCCAGGCGCTCATGTGCGCTGATATGCTTTCAGCATATTTGAACTGGGGAAATCACTGCCTTTGGCAATACGCAGCCAAACCTAATGTCCATTGACTTTGTACCCGTGGTTCACCCCTCCAAATAGACACCCAAACTAGTGATGTGACTGAAACTCTCGAATATGCACCATTCAAACCAATGAGCACAGGTACACTTTAAAAGGCGGACCCCTCCAAGTGGTTGCTTTCCTTCTGCATTGCGTTTCAAGCTCTCCGCCATTCTCTAGATATCCATGGCTTATGGTTTTCATCCAAACATCCAGCCGTCAGCAATCAAGCAGAAACACAGGGCCCCCGTACATGGGTGTGTCTTTTTTAGGCTTTCGGAAACCCCTTTAAAATGGTGGTTTCCATGTGGTTTCCTTTGAACCTTACCCCTAAGAGGGTGACCTAAGGGAATATAGCCAATAGCCTAAAAAAGACACTCCTATATGTTTTTTTGTTTTTTTTGTTTCGCCCGAAAGGAGTAGTTCCGTTTGGCCTAAACCGTGATGCTTGAGAATGCGAGATAGGGCTCACGCTCGATGTGAAAATGGGTAGCCGATCCGTCCGTCCTTCTCGCGGCCCCCGGCCATTCCGATGCACGATATCAGGATGCACAGGAGGATGGCATTGTCAAAGACCTGCTCGTTTAAGGTACGCTGAGATGGGCGAGGGTTCTTTTTGGGGGGGGGCACACCACCCATTGATCCGACCTGACAATCCCTGCCGCTTGTAGGTTCCAAATGGAGCAAAAGTGATGCGGAAAGCAGGCGGAGAGGGTGAAAAGTACGTTTCCCCAAGACCTCGAGCAGAGCGGGCGGAACTAGGCTCAACACCTTTCGGAGATCTTCACCGCTCTGGAGAATCAAGTCGTGGTGCTTGCCCGTTTTCAAACAATGGCGGAAGGGGACAAAGGGCCTTCCCGCAATAGGTGAAAAGTGGATAGAATGCTGAAACTCCACGGGACTCCCCGATTGTGTGGAGGTCGGCCGCACCTTGCATCCTTCTCCCTGAATCTGCACCTGCGAGGCCACAGTCACAACTCCGCCACTGCCCAGTTTGCGCGGAGCTTGATTGCAGGTGGCTGCCGTAAGACAAGAATCAATGGATGAACCGGGACACGGCACAAAACAAAGTCATCATCCACATAGACAATACATCAAGGGCTGCTTCGTCCTTTCAAGGTCCCTAATGCTCCAGGCATACTTGCACCCATCCGCACACAGGTCTGCATGCAGAATTGAAATCACGGATCACAGTCCCAACGCCCCGGATTTTGCTTGGGAAAATGTCAAACGGATCTTCGAATCTGTATTTCCCTTTCACCAGAGCGAATGAATTCGACTCAGACCGGGCGCCTCAAAAGACAGAATGGTGAGGCACAGTCTCCTGCCAAAAGCAATGTGAGCCGCCGATCTAGTGTCACTTGGTAGGGAGGAAGCAAATTATATGTTTAAACACATACTTGGCTTGGTCGGAGCCGCGGGAGCAACAAAAGACTTGACTGCAGCCAAGTGATGTGAAGCCGAATCTTGAAGCACTCCTAGAATTCCTCCCACATTTCTCTTTCCGTCCACATCCCTGCTAATTCCTACCTCTGATAGCGGCAAATGGGCTGGCAGGCTTCATTCCTGAAGTTTCAATCCCGCTTGTTTCCATGCGCGGCCGGGGGGGGGGGGGGGTCAAGGGGGGTCAACGCCTGAAACACAGGCCCACTTGCCCAAAAGGACTAGGGTTCATCTTTCGGAGCCCCAGCTATGCACCAGGGGTACATTTGAGAGGTCGCACCTCAAGAAACCTCAACAAGAGAGCTCAAACACGCCATGAAATCCTTGCTGAAAAGTAACAAGCTGCTAACTTGAAGTTGCCCAGCAACGAATGGAAGTAGGGATTGCTGAGCAAGGAAGTCGTTCGGAAACATGAACTTTGACAAGGGGAACATGCGCTTTCCGATTCTCAGGTCCTGAAGGGATTCTGCAGGCTGAAGATGCACAGAGCATATCCGCGAGGCCAGTAGAACTTCCTGAGCCAAGAGAAGATGCCAGATTGCGTTAAAATGGTTACCTGGTTGTGATTCCCATGATGAAGATGTCTATGTTGATTCCATCTGGCTTGGGCAGATGAGCGGTTCAGAGCTATGCAGCCCCCAACCCCCCAACAACCCCCAACAACCCCCAACAACCCCCCAACAACCCCCAACAACCCCCAGAAACCCCCAACAACCCCCAACGTCATGCCGTTTTGTGGCTGGTTTCAAAAAGGGACATGCGCCACCAACCCATTTGGGGAGCTCCCCTGGGCAACCCACAGCCCTTGAGCAATTTGGTCGGTGGTTTTCAGAAAACCACTTTTTGGATTTTGTGTGATTGCTGTGTTTGTGTTGTGTTTTAAACGCGCATGTGTGTGTGTGTGTGTGGCATCCCGGGTGGCGCTGCGACATGTTGCTTTATGTACTTTCCACGGGCTGTTTTGTCTGCCCTGCCTGAATGACATTGCTGTCTTCTTTCTGATTGCTGTGCCGCAGTCAACGCAGCCAACTGCATCTTGTGCTGTGCTCGTCGTTGGGTGGTTGGGTGGTTGGGGGGTTGGGGGGTTGGGTGGTTGGGTGGTTGGGTGGTTGGGTGGTTGGGTGGTTGAGGGGTTGAGGGGTTCGGGGGGTTTACGGCTGATGGCCAAACAGTCAAACAGCGCCAAATAAAGTGAGATTGTGTTCTCTGCGAGCCCGGTGAGGTCACCCACCTCCAGCCTATCTATGTGAGCCTTGTGTCAATCTATGTGAGCTGTGTGACCAATCAAAGGAATAACCGTAGCAATAGCACGCAAACACAACCACCCGGGTCCAATCAAGCAATGTAACAATCAAAGACACCCAGAGATGTTGCCTGAAAAAAGCCAACCAAAAGAACATACCAACCAGAAGCAGGGACAAACAAAGCTCGGGCTACCGAACATCGGAAGTCAAGCACACGGCTGGCCGTGCGCCGTGCCCCCGCTGGGATGGCCCAGCCTCCGAGATCGTGAGATCGTGGCTATGGCCGTGTCCTCTGCACGGCCTGGAGTCGCAGCTGCCCTCGCGCTAAGATTCTGAGTCGGTTGTTTTTAAGCACACCTCACTTGGTTGAAGCTTCCAATTGGTATTTGTTTTGTTTGGGTTTGGCTGTTGTCTTGTTTGGTAAGCAGACCTCGCCTGGGAAATTGGGGCTTGGTAGGGGACAGTTTGCGTTCCGCCTTTTGGCCAGGGTTTGTTTGGGCGCAACATGCAGAAACCAGCTCGCAGCCAGGTACAATCAAACAATCAGGGTGCCAGGGACAAAGTACGAAGCAATCAGGGTCCGGTTGGTGCAAATCCTGAAAACACCCCCAAAGACTGGCAGAAATACAGCCCAAGGTCGGTTCGCTTTCACCCAAATGTGCCCAACACAAGGTACAAGTTGACAATGTTGTATTCTTTCTTACTTGCCCACCAACCACATCGTCTCGGTAGATTGATTCACGAGCCTGACGTAAGGACCACGATCTATCGATGTGAGTCGCACTCACCACCTTGTATCAGAGGGGTCTACCCAAAACCAAGTAGGCCGCACCAATGCTTGGTTTTGATCGTGGCTCATGCAAACTCGTTTGCAGTTGTGCAATCGGGAAAACCATGGAAAACCAAGAGGCCAAATAGCATTTTGTGCGTAAGTGCAAGCAACTTTCAGCACTACTCCACAGGCGCTGCGATGTGGCACGGTTTGAGTAGCTGAGCCGGCACAGTACGAGGCTCAACAAACTGACGTGACTGGTGCCCGGGGAAGCGTCCCAAGCGATCGGCTCATTTCCTCATCGTGGTTGATCCCCCATGCTTAAGGGGGGTGGGGGGATCCCGATTGCAAAGGGGGGTGGAGTTCCTTGCTGTCGTTTATTCCCCGAAAGCCAGCCAAAACATGTCTTGGGTGCTCTACAAAACAATCCTTGGAGCCTGAAAGCAACTTTCTCCCAAGCACTTCTGACAAACCCGGTGGCTCAAAGAGACCCGACGAACCCGTGCCTTTCTCGCTCGGAGAAGCGGATTCATCCGCGTCCTGGACCGACACTGTTGCCCCCAAAACATCCAACCAGGACCTGTGCGGACAATCATTCGACGTGAATCATAGAAGATGCTTCACTCCCAAACAAAGCACTTCTCAACTTCCAGCGCGACAACCCAATAGACTACCCGAATGCCCGAATTCCTGCGTTCTTTGGTGTATATGCGCGTCCTCTGCTCCTGACCATGTTCATGGCTAAGTCATGGTTTCAGATGTGGCAAACTGCAACAGACAACAATAGCAGCGGGCACTCACTTACTAAGTTGAGCAACTCTAAAACATCTTCTGTTTGAGGAATCCCACCCAACATCACGCTGAAGTGTGAAACCCATGCGACGAATAAACAACCAAATCAGCAAACATGACAAACAGAAACAACAACAAAGATAACAACCTTTGTTGGAGTGTCTTTGTACTGCCTGCCCCCCCCCCCCCCAGTGGGTAAGGTGTCTCTTGCCGCTCCTTGTCGGGAGCAGGCCACACTCTCGGTTCCTGCAAACAGAAAGCAGCAAGCTTGGCAGGTGGGCTGTCCAAACTCACCATGCTCGTTCCTGAAAATGAGGAAATGGGCAGTTCCCAATGACCTTGGCGGTAATACTGGGTGGTCTCCAAATTGGCAAATGGGGGAAGCACGAGAATTGGTTACTTCCCTTTGCTAAAACCACCCCCCAAAAAAAGCGTACCGGGCCTCAAGCAAAGGACAATTCACTTGAGTGGATTCGCCCAAACCAAAACTGCTTTGTGCTTACACTCCCTTTGTCTTCTCAACATGCATATATGGTCTAAAGTCTCGGGAGTGGTCAAAGCTACATGCCTGTGCCAATATAGTCTAGAGGGCATAACCTTTCTGCTTCAAGCATGCGAGCATCATGAATCCATGGGAAGACAACATCAACGAATACTGCCAGATTCTTGGACTTGCATATCGCTTCGGGCAGCTCGACCGTCTTTCCAAGGTATTTCAGGACACAAAAGGCGCTGATGACAATCATTTTGATATTTTGTTGCATTACCCCTATTGGCCGCATCTGGGGAGCCCACCTGCAAACAATTAAGGGGTTGTCCCAAAAAGTGGGAACCCCATTTGGTTCACAAATGGATGTAGACTACTGCTGTATCTAGCCGAAGGGAACGGCTGCCAATGGACCGGACAGATTACCTCCGAAAAGGAAAAAAACAAAAACGGGGTGGAACTGCCAGCCAACAACAAACCTGATTGGCTCGTTTCGGCGCAGCATGCCCCACCGATTGCTAAGCACGCATGAGAACTGACTCAACACCAACGCTGAAATGAGCGGCCAAATGTCATTGGCTTTTGGTCCAAAAGGCCTCTCTGCAATCCTCACTAAACCTCTCTACACACTAAATGAGGGAGTAGAACGCTTTATAGCATCCGGGCCACGGGCCAACCGCTGTTTGAGTGTGCTGCTCGAGTTGGACAAGCTGCTCTCGTGCGAGCCTGCGCTGGAATGATCCCGTTCATGTTCTTTGGCGTCTCCTGCGATTGGCCAGCGGTTCTTCCTCTCCAGGCAGTCGGCTCTCTGGTCTAATGTTGTCTACTCGCTGGCTGATCAAACATGAAACCGCGAAAATTGGGCGAAACACAGGAACTTGCTCTAAAAAATGAGCGCTCTTTGGGTTCCACGTCCGTCTGCAGGAGTGCATCTCCAAATGGTTGTTCTTTGGGCTTCTGTATATAATGTGGGAAAAGTCTGGTGTGGGGGGTGTCCCGCCCGCCTTTTGCATTATTTTAGCCCAACGAAGCCAACCTGGGTTGCCTGTCCGAGAAACACAATTGGGTGCCTCCCTGTCAACACAATCATTTAGACTGCATTCCCCAATGGGCCAATGGGTTTTGAGCAGTGCACCAAAACGCGGTGCGGTCTTTCTTCCCGCTGTTGTTTGCAATGCCAAGCTCCTTCCAACAGGATATGAGCCACTGCTGCTTCCTTCAGGCTCTTTTCTGGATTCCAACCAGTGGGATGCTCTCGGCATCCGGCACCCATCTCCTTTCACCCCTACCCCAAAACGGTTCTCCCTTCTTGTGCCCCAATCTTTGCAAGGCGCTCGCGGACCCTCTTTTCTCTGTGGCTTCCATGGCCCCACTCGCGTGAAGCACCTGAAGCACCTGAAGCCGACCACTCTCTCTCCCGAACTTTGGGACATCTTTTAGGGCCTTGGATGCGCTTGCCCTGAGAGCGTGGAAACAAATGTTACCTCTTGGAACCTTGACAAACAGGGATGGGAAAGCCAAACACTCACATGAGCAGCGTTGGAAATACCTTAGACTCGCAAGGAACTCTGCGCCAAGGTGCCTTGAGCTTACGAGCACAGGGGTAGTTTACGCAATCACCCACCCCACCCTGATGAACAACCCCTTCAATCGCAAAGCAACCTAATTTCGAACCCTGCTCAAATGGTTGATTCGCTTTGGGCAACATGTCAAAAATACGGACCCTCTTTGCACTTCAAATAAATTGCACCACAAGAAACCCGCATTTGGCAAGCGGCAAGCCGCAGCTTGAAATCGGTTTCGAACGAAACTCCGGCAAGGCCAGGAGCGCCTCTTCAAACTATTCTTTCTGCACTTTGTCGCCGCAATGGTTTCACAGGACCAAAAACATCATGGCATCTTCCACGGGAACCTGGAAATCAAAAGGTCAGGTTCAAGCAGAACGTCCAGGAAGCAAGGGCCATGGTATGTGGGATCCCATCCGAACTTCCGGGTATGTGTACCACCCTGTGCATGCATGGTAGTGACCTTGGTCGCTGTGCGCCCTTGGATGGCTGCTCCCTGGCTGACTTGGTGCAAAAGATCATATCTGGGTGCTCCCAAAAATGGGAACCCCACTTGTGGCACGTGGTCTCTGCGCCCTGTGCTTCTCTCTAGATCGCTAAAGCCAATGTTTTGCAGCCCCCTTCCCTTTGAACAGGATGCACATGCTATCTATTGATTCGTGTATAAAAATGACTTTCCAGACGACATCCTACTAAACAGGACCTGCCATGCAACAACTGTTGGGGGGGATTAGGATGGCATTGTAGGTTGGCTAAAGTGTCGGGCAATGACCATCTGTGTTACACTCGGATTGGGCCCTTCTGGCAGTGGCGATCAACGTCCCCTGGACAGGATCCCAAAACGTCAAGTACCTTACTTGGATCCCTGCTTACTCTGGGAGTCTGAACCTTGCTGAGACGCGCACGTCGCCATCTCCACTCTCGTCCGAGGGCCTTGTCCGCGGCTTGCGTCTTACCTCGCAGGAGCCATTGGATAGTTTTGGTGTGAGCTGTGGGCCAAAATGCTCTGTAGTCTTGGATGCGGCCTTTAGGTGCCTCAGGATGTTCAGATGTCTACGAATTATAGCAGGGAACCACCCCTATGATGTCCAATGAGGGGTCCCCCAAAATGACACCCAGATCTCTTTTTGTTTTGTTGTCCAAAAAGCAGTGGCAAGCCTCCAAGATGCATGTGAACCCGACTTGGAATCTTGACAGGATCCCCTGTATTCTCCTATGTCACAGAAAACAAGCCAAATTGGGCACAAGACGTGATGTTGAGATCCACACAAAGGGGAAGTATGGCGAGACCCCTGGCTGAAAAAGTTTGCAAACACCAGCCACAAACATGTCTTCCCCTCGCTGTAGAAGCTGCACTTGCCAGGCTCGCCTTGACTTTGGTCGGGGCCTGCAAGCGTGCGTGCATCAGCTTTCTCAGCATTGCATTCTACTTTCACTATGCATGCAGAGGCAAGCCCAGCCAGCTTACTCGCGCACTTTTCTCCCCTCACCCGACTGCAATTGGTGTATTCATGATTGACTCGGCTGACTCACAAGCCGCCAACCCACTTCCCAGGGCACAAATTTGTGCCGGAGGTCCTGTCCATGCAAGCGTGTTCAGCACACACCGGAGCTTATCCAGAGAGGCGCATCATTTTCTTGCTTGGACATGTCGCCGTGGCAAAAAAGTTCGCTGACTTGCCGAGCTCCGAATTATCTGTCAGTCGGATCTCTGATGATTCACTCGCCAGTCTTGAGGCTTCCAAGACTGAAGCTGCTTCACCATGGCCCTTGTGGCCACAAGCCACACCACACCCAAAACCGCACACCTTGGCGCTCAGGTTTAAGACACATATCCCTTGCTGCCTCACACCCAACTGCGAATGCACTTGTGAGAAAACGGGGGACGCAAAAGAGAGAGAGAGAGAGAGAGAGAGAGAGGCCTCCTCAAGAGAATGGTAGTGTTCGCGGAACGCAGAAATGGGGTAGTCTCCAAACGAGAGAAACCAGAATCACACAAATGACAGCCTCGAAAAAGACACCGCAGTATGGAACATGTGCACAATGTCGAGACGGACCTAAGCTCGCTACCACACCAAACGACCATTGGGCCCACTCGCAAGTAACCAATTTCCCTATGCGACTTGAAGACATCAGCCGGCTTTCGATATGTGAGGTTCCAAGCACTACTTCAAAGCAGACTCATCCAACAATTGGCCCAGCTCTCCAGATCCTCTGGGAATCCTGGACAACTGGACCGAAGCGTCGGCTTATCTCCGAGAGGCAGCGCGGTGACCGTGTAGAAGCCATCGCTTTGCACCAGGCAGCTCTCGTGCTTGCAGCTCAAGACCTAAGCGCTTGAAAGTGCCGTGAGCCGTGCATAGTGTGTTAAAATGGGAACTTTCTTGGACCCCATTCGGTCGCTAATAGAGAGCCACCTCCAAAGTGGTCCGCAATTTTGACACACACACACACACGCCCTGTGGGGCCTCACGTTCAGAACGGGCTGTACGCCCATATGCCATGAGCATCAAGTTTGGGAAGCTGCCCAAGTACTTTGTGAAGCATGCAGGCTGCTGCGATGAACACTGCGCCAGTGCGGTATGGTCACAAAACCTCAAGAAGGACCTTCCCCGCATTCCAAGTCAACAGGTGCTGGGATGGTTCCAGTTCGGAGAAAGTCTCGCCCTTTGGGAAAGAAAGGGTTTCAATTTCTTCGGAAGTCCCTTCTCTCATAGGCTGTCCAAAGGCGCTTTCGAACGCAGAAGAGCGCTCCTCCAGGATCTGATCCGATGGGATCAGAGGCCCGACCCCATCGGCTTTGAGAAGATTGGCCGGGAAGCCCAAAAGAAACCAGCAAGGGCCACCCTTGTTTGATATAGATGACATTCTTCATGAGACCCCAGTTTTTCTGGTCTTAAATTTGGAAACCAAGAGGAAAACCGAAGCCATTTTGGGCGAAGGGTCCTAAAAGCAGAGACACACCCGTCATTTGATCATCTTGAAGCTCGGTCCATTCGCACAGCTCAGTCCCGGACATCCACCAGGAAGAAGGCCGCGGTAGGAGGCCATCTCCCGCCCAAGTTGCCGATGGTGTTCAGCAGGGTCATGTATGTACCTTCCATGGGTCTGTGTCCAAGGGGAGCTCAGAAGGAAACACACACACACACACTAATCGTTTGTGGTCGGGTTCAGAAGGCAAAGGCAAACTTAAAAATACAAGCATGTTCAAGCAAGTCAGGCTGCGTGGAGTCTCGAAACAATCAGGTAAATGGGCAGAGTCTTCTTGAGTGCATAAAACCAGACACCGGAAGCATGCCTATGCAAATACCAATGCTGACAGTTGAATTATCAATTGCATATACGTTTACGTGCCCGGATAACGCAAGACAGCACACGGCTAGAACGAGTCATGAAGCAAATCAATGGATTTACATAATGTGAAGGTCTGGATTACGTCTGTTGTTCCAAGGACCTAATTTCCACATACCCACCTTATCCCTTGTGCCAACCATGGTCGACAATGCCTGAAAAACACAACAAAGTTCGGCTTGCATCATTCTGGGAACCCTTTCCCTCACGTTTTGTAAGGAATACCACTCCCTCATCGCCTTTCTACCTCTGCCTAGTTTCCCGACCTTTGCTGTCCCTCTGCCCAAAGGACCGAAAAACATCATAGACTATGGACCAAGGCAAACGAAAAGGTTAGATCCGGTCGATTCGCTTTGGGCGAGTGAAGTACATTCATTTCCTTGCCTCCGAAGGCGGGATCGGAGACATGAGCGAAGAAGGCCATCTGCGCAACGAACCTCGAGATGCAAAGGCCACCACGGCAAAGCGCGCGCCCGTCATCTCAAACAGGGAAGTCACCGGATCAGAAAAGTCAGAATTCCTGTGATTCGCCTGACAATTTACAATCAACGAGTAAAAATACAATGCAACAAATTATCGACCCTGCATGGGTAAAGCTAGACAAGGCGGGTGTGTAGAAAGTTTCCCTGAATTAAGCATCAACAGAAAGGTCCCCCACTTTTGTTGGACCCCGTAATGTTAACACCCGATTAATCAGGGGTTGTTGAATAACTAATAGTGGTTTTCCGAATTCTGGTTCGCCCCCCATCGTTGATAGGGACCAGAATAACTGAAAGTTGTTTTGGTTTGGTGGAAAATTCCAAAAAATACCCACAAATCAATTTCAATTGGTGGCCCACTTGCTTAAAAACATTCCCCTTTGAATTGGTTGCTCAAATACAAAACCCAAAGCCAGCTGAAACCTCTGACATTTGAATTCCATCCCCAGCCCTGAAACTGCATTTTTTTTTTTTTTATGAACATATGCCGCAGTTTAGCAATCGTCGAACAAGCACACACAACTCAATCTCGGGTGGTCTGCCCAACTGGCTGATGACGTGTGGCCCTTGAAATATGATACCAGAATATAATATTGAGGATATTGATATCCCGCCTCCAGGTATTGCTGGTAATTTTTTCAAGTAGTTCAATCAACAGCTTCACGTGGGGCCCCACGTGTATTGCGTTTCTCCCCCTGAACCCAACGACAAGTTCTCTCCAGGCAATCAAAATGGCTTTAAACAAATTGCCAGGCTTCGACGAGGAGAGGCAGTGGGTACCCCACCTTCCAGCCCAACAAAACAGCCCCAAAGATTGTCGCTGTTGCTGGCATGCTCGAAAAAGGTGGGTTTGTTGAGGGTCTCTCGAGGGCTTGGTTCATACGCTCGCCATTGGAGGGTCCCTTCAGGGGATCTCTGGCAATGACCCAAAGGGAGCAACCATTAGATGAACATACTGATGTCCAGCAATAATTTTTGAGGGTATGCCAACCATGAACAATCAGAGCCACCTGCCATCTTCACCAAAAGGAAACAAAGGCGCCCCTTCCTCAACAAACAAAACAATACAAACACAAACAACAGAAACACACCAGCTAAAAATTGATATTGTCCCAAATGGGTGGCGCGTCCGCTTTCGAGGGTAGGCCAGGGCAACCACAAGAAAAACCGAAGCCATTTTGGGCGTCCAACATATAACAATCAACATTGATGGGGTGGTTTGGAGTTGGTTCAGCCAAATGCATTTCAACTTTGCCGCTGGGGCGCATGAGCTCGGAGGTCACAGCAGCTGCTGCGATGGTAAAGACCAGCAGCGTGTAGAAGACCCACGGGATGGGCACCACTTGGGCCGGGGTGTAGAAGGCCAAAGCCGCAGTGAGGGGTCCTGCCCCGAGAAAGACGTGCTGGGTTGGGTTTGTTCAATTCTGGGAAGGTGTCTTTGGTGTGTGTATGTGTGTTTCTGTGTTTTAGTCAAAGACAGGGGACCTGTTTGCAAACACTTAATTTGGTGGAGGTGTTCGTCCAAGCAAAACGGAATCTGTTCAATTGGAGAGTGTCGCTTTGCTTGTCCAACAAAATGCTCAAGGCCCGTTTGGCTGTGGAATGCCTTTGGTCAACCTGATTGGGGATATGATTTGCAAAGTTTTTTTTTTTTAATGGAAGCATCACCTAAACACGGGGACCTTGGCATTGAGCGGTTTTGTAGGAGCCCGCCATGTGAGCTATCGACATTTTTTGAGGCTTGCATTTTGAGAAATACTCAATTGATGGGGCACTGGAAATTTGATTTAACAATACGCCGCTGAGTGTGCTGCGGTCAACCAACCACAACCCACTCAGGTTGAACATGCAAGTGTCCCGACATGTGCCGTGGAAAAGCCATACTGCCTTTGCGCGGGGTTGCTGGGAATGGTCATGATTCTTTTCAGGACCCTCCAAAGGACCAGTCATGACCAGTCAAAACTCATGTCCAAATTGTGGCAACCCATTTTAGGGTAGTTCCCCCTAACATCCCTTCAAACAGCCAACCCCAAAATGGGTAAAACCTCCCTAGCAGCCTACCTCAAAAGAACCATACGAACTCGTCAGATCCAACAGCTGAGAACCACAGGCGGCTCCTGTGGCGATGCGCGAGGGATACACCGTCATGGCCAGCTGCAGCGGCTGCGGGCCCTCGGTCCACCTCGCCGCAAAGACCGGCAGCAGGATGTACCTTGGACTCACACGTGTCTCACGGGGGAACCCAGATATCAATGGAAAAACTCTCCACCAAAAATATCTAAAGGGGTCATAGAAAGGGTTCAAACAAAACATCACCTGTTGAATTGTTGAAATGTCTCCAAATTGTACGTACAAGCTCGAATATGGGCTGTTTCCCTATTATGTTTCCGCTTGGAACCCTCAACAAACACACATGAAGAATTGTTTGGGATGAAAAGGACTCACGCCCTGTTTAGTCCCGAATTTTGCATAACGTAAAGCAACAATGCCTTCCAAAAAAGGAAAATAAGCACAGCGTCAAGTGTTTGGTCCCCTCCCAAAAAAAACATCCCTCTGGGCAACCGGGGCACAGGGGCATCAGCAGGGAGGTCACGTACGCAACGTGCTCCTGGCAAAGAGCATATTGTGCCTATACATGTGCTGTCGTCAAACTCCTTACTCCCCTGCAGATTTACATGGACAATCATGGGCCTCCAGGGGAAAAACATCATTTCAAGAGGAATCTCCTGTGGGAGGACCGCCTTGTTGGGTTCCATGTTAGTTTGCAATGCATGTGTTCAAATCCTTACAGTATACGGTTGTCTAAGATACTACGGGTTGATGACATGATGACCATCCAGTGCAACTCTCAGCACCTTTGACAGTGGTACACACGGTGGGTGTGAAACATGCAGGAGCGATTGGCAAAATGAAAGCTCCCTGTGAATTCGTTTTGGAGGCGGGTCCCGAAGAGGGCCCATGTTTTGCCAACCAGGCCTCCTTGTCACAAGAACATCCGAGAACATTCGGTCAAACCAACACCCCCGGAGCTTCTTCATTGGGACCAGCGCATTCCATCTGCCCGCTCTTGATTGAATGGGAGTTCGATATCCCATCTGTAGAAACACCCATGAAATAAAAACCAACACCTTTAAGCCTTTCATCGCGACGAAAGAACCTGCCTGCAAAACAGGTTGCTGTTGAAAACATGGAGCCCCGTGATTGGGGCTGCCGCATAGTTAAGCGCATCAAGGATGCCGAACCAGCTCAAAGCCGAGCTTTCTCTTTCTGGTATGTTGGCGGGAAACACCGTGTTTTGCAGCTCCACAAATGTCAACTTTGGGTCAACCTGGCGGACCACACTGATCAGTTGGCTCGAAGAATAGGACGATTCCTCGGATGTCCCTCTGGAATGATTGGAACGTGAAGTTCAAAATGAACAGAATCAAACAACACAACAATACAATGTATTATATAATCTATGCATATTGCACACAAAACATAAGCTCGCAAACAAAGAAAATAGACAAAGCATATCAACCCGAACTCCCAGGCCTTGGGTATTCCGTACTCTTGGAACTTCACGGGCGCCACGGATTCGCAAACCGCAAAGGGCACTTTCCTGAAGTGCTGAGCGGTGGAACCCACCGGGTGGAAGGGCAGGAAGATTTGGGAGGGTAAAAATACCAAGCGTCCCCATAAGTCGACAAAATGGCAAAGCATGCTGAAAAAGGAAAATTGGAAGGTCAGGAGAAGATGGAGGTTGCAGTGGTTTTGGATTGCAGAGGCAGGCGTCGTTAGGGTTATGGGAGTGACCTGTTGGTGCACTTTGCAGCCGTTACTGGCGGGTGGCATGGTCATTGTCCTGGTTGAAAGGGTACAGTAGCAACTTGGCACAGGGCACTGTAGGTGCAGGGCATGCTGGTGACCCGGTGGGGAGTCAGGTTAAGACTTGGGGGTTGGGGTTGGGTGAGGGGTCACGGGCAGGCCAGTCTCCAGGATATGGGGACATGCTTGCAAACATGAACATGCAGGCTCAATGAGGCCCAAAAGCTTGCGAATGCCGACTGCTTTTCCCTACCGTATCCTGGCAACAGCCACACTGTCGTGCTTAGGAAGTCAAAGATTAGTTGCGTCAATGGGCGCGTCGGTTTCTGTTTGTATTACCGAAAGACGTTTAAAAATAAACCACACCGAAAGCACCTGAAGGGCTTCATTCTCCAAACCCCGCTA